ATCGAGGAACACCGTACAAGTGCCCCATAACGTCAGGAGCCCAAGCGACACCAACACATCCTTCTCACGTATTGCATTCCGTCAGTAAATATCGTCCTCCTTGTCCATTGTGCTACCCTGATGTTCTTGAGTGTTCCCAGCTGGTCCCGCTACCCACTGATGTCTGCTTGGACTAAGAAGCGGTTGTGCCTAGGTAGCGGCCCCGATTCCTCGGCACCCATTGCTACGAGTACTACGCAGCATCACTGGCAACCTTCGGTGTGACCCCGATGTCTGCAGACACCGAGGCATGTCGAGAGGGCTGCGGAGGCCGCCACAGCCTGCGCATAAACCTTCTAGGCGGTGGCACTGCACGCCGCCAGAGCCGAAGCGCACTCATGTGCCCAGTGGCCTTGGCAGCCGCAACCCTTGGACTTGACAGACCTGCTCCAGCTGCTGCTGCACAACATCAGGAGAAACTCGAGCAGCCCTAACCTTGGGAGCGACATCCTGCCTACCGAGCACGAGCGGAAACGATCTTGGGAAGCTGTGTCTACCCCATCCGACTTAGATTTTGGCGACGCCCCCTCTGGGCGCTTTGGCAGACACATCAACGACATCGTCACAGAGACAAGGGCACTAGACAACTGAAGACCGTTCTGCAAATTCCCGTCAGGCTGGCGGAGATGGACCTGAGACGGCTTGCTGGGCTGCTGCCAGAAAGTTCCGAAACGAGACTCTGTAGTTCCCTTGGTACCCGCACACCGATGGCATAGCAAATGCGCAAATGAAAGGCAGAGCGGGTGATACCGAACTGAGAGTTGTGTTGGCCGTCGCTGGGTGTAAACGTTTGGGGCCGCGAAAGCCCCACGTCAAAATGTCAAGCCCTTAAGCACTTGAGCCAAAATGGCTACGGACCCCTCCTCCTCGCCTTCCCTCCTCGCTCCTCCCCCTCTTCCCTCCCCCTGTTCCCTCGCCCTCTTCCTCATCCTCCTCGTCCTCCTCCTCCTCCTCCTCCTCCTCCTCCTCCTCCTCCTCCCTTTATTCCTCCCTCCTCCCTCCTCCCTCCTCCTCCTCCTCCTCCACCTCATTCGTCCTTCGCCACCTCCTCTTCCTCCTTCCGATGCTCCTCACTCCCCCATCGTCTCCCTTTCTCCCACCCCCCTCGAAGGGCAGGTGGGGTGCCCAAGCTCACCCGCCCCGGCGGTTTGGGCCCGCCCCAGGCTGCCGCGGAGGCCAGCGCGGGCGAGGTGGCCAGGTGGAGGGTGCAGAAGCTCCCCTGGCGGGGCGTCTTCATCCAGAGGGGCCCGAGCACGGGCACCAGCACCTGAGGGACGGTCTTGCCGCGCAAGGCAAGGAGCCAGACGTCCTCGGCGGCAAGCAAGGGGGGGGAAGCACGAAGGAGAAGGCCTTCTCAGAAGGCTCGGAAAGTCCCCCAGCCTTCTGAGAAGTTCTCCGAGCCCTCCCCGAAGACAAACAAAAAAACTTCCCAGAAGGCGCGAGGGCTTCCGAGAAGTCCCGTCGCCTTCTGAGAAGGCCTTCTCCTTCTCACTTACCCCCCTCGCTCGCGGCCGACATCCGGCAGCTCGGAACAAGTCGGGGCCACTGGTTTTGCGCCATTCGGAGAGGGTTCCAGAGATCATGGGACCAATGCCACGACAAAAAACAGCATGTCCTCCAGGATATCGACAATTGAAGAGAACGCGGCGAAAGGTCGTAAACATCGGCCGCGTGGTAACGTATTAGCTTCTGCCTCGCGGCCGATATCCCGAAAAAGAGCTGGCCCCTATGGCAGAATTTGGTCAGGAAAAGCGCACCGCCATCAGCGGCCGGGACCACTCCGGGAAGATGTCCATCGCGATGGACGTCCCGATCTCGCCCGGGTGCAGCAAATTGACGGGGATGCGGGAACCCCGCCGCCTCAGCCGGCGCGCCAATTCCGCGACGAACAGCGCGCCCGCCAGCTTGGACTGCCCGTACGCGTGAAAGGTCGAGTACGGCCTGGCCAGGAACTCGCTGCGCTCCGCGCCGTCCCCGACGGCCACTGCCTCGGTAAGGTCGACGCTGTCGTGCGAGAAGCACAGTGTCGAGCCCACGGCGACTATCCGCGGCCGCTCGCCCCTCGCCTCCGGGGAAGCCGAGAGAAACCGGTACCGCTGCTCCCCGGACCTCTCCCAGGGTGCGTTCTGACCAGAATTTCGAAGGCATCCGGCCATGGCTGCGAGGGCCTCCCAGGAGGCCCCACGAAGGGAAAACGAGGGAATGGTATCGGTATACGGCAGGTTCGTGTCGTGCCGACTTTGGCGTTGGTTCCTGACACCGCGGGAACCGCTCAACCATGAATGATCGGCCACTTCCGAAACGTCAGATCGTTCAACACCGACCAGCTCTGGGTCGACGGCGGCGTTCGACGTTGAACGCCAGCGGCGGGGTCGCCGCCAGTCGACACGACGCGAACCGACCTGAGACAACGCCAGGACGAGGCTAAAATCGGGTGAGGATAAATCGAGACTCTGGGGGATATCTCGGACACCGCGGCCTTCTCAGAGCGTTCTGGAGCGCTCTGGGAGCGGTGCGGACCGCTCTGGAACAGATTTGTCCTCGTCACGTCCTCGTCCTAGCCCCGTCCGACTACCGTAGCGAAGTTAGAACCTTTTCGTCCTCTGAGCCTCGGCCGCGAGCAGGCTGGGAAGCAGGAGCCGGACCAGCTGGAAGTGGCCCAGGTGGTTCGAGGCGAGCGTCATCTCGAGGCCGTCCTCTGGGACGTGGAAGGACATGATAGTACTAAGATGGGCATTGGACAAGAAACCCTGCGATAGGGAACCCAGGGTCTGGAAGCCAGTGGAACACCAATTGAGGCTTGGCCATGGATAGCACCGCCGCCTTCATCAGATAAGGAGTGCCCCAGGGTCTGGAGTCCGTAGCCATTTTGGCTCAAGCCGACGGGGAGGCTCGAGGTGCCTTCCCTCAGGTGCGGGCGCGCGCAAGGCGCGTGGGGGCCCCGCGCGGCGCGGGCCCCAGTGCATGGATGGCTTCCTTTGCGGTGAGCGGCCGCCCTTGCCGCCAGGCTGGGCATGGGCGTGGTGCCTCTGCCCGGTCCAGCTCGCCGCGGCCGGGCCGCCAGTCCCGGCACCGGGATGGTGGCAAGTCGGCGCCCTGGGAGGAGGGCCGCCGCCAAGGGAAGAAGAAGAAGCAGGGCAAGCACCCCAGCTGGCTGCGGCGGAGGCAGGCGGAGCAGCGCCGACGGGAGCAGCAGCAGGAGGCTGCTGCCGGAGCCCTTCGCGGGTGCCGCGCTCCCCCTCGAGGAGGCCCCGCGCACGCCGCGGGGAGGCGGCGCCGCCGGCGCGCCTGGACCCGGCTCCCCGGGCGACGAGCCCTGCGCGAAGCGCAGCTGCGGGTGGACACCGCCACGCGGCCCGGTCGGAGAGCCGGCGCAGCAGGAGCCCAAGGGCGACGGGCGGCGCGAGGCGCGACTCCGGCCGCGAGAGGCGCCGGCCCGAGGCGCCACGGGCGCCTGCGCCGAAGGCCCGGCCCGCGCGGGCGCCACAACAGCTGCTGCCCCCGGCGGGGCCACCGCCCGCCCCGCCAGCGCGGGAACGCAGCACGGCAGACCCCCCCGGGGCGGTGACGACGCGGCGGGCGCCGGCCGCGCGCCTGCGCTCGCGCACGCCCCCGGCGCGCGAGGCGGCGGCACCGACGGCACCGGTCGGCGGCTGCGCCCGGGAGCCAAGCCCAGCGAGCTATTACACCGATTCCGACGCCACGGAGGGGGGGGGTGCTCGGGCCGCCGAGGGGGCCGCGCCAGGGGCTCCCGCGCAGGCGCGGGTGGCAGCCGCAGCGCCGCCGGCAGCGGCAGCGGAGCCAGCGGCACCAGCTCCGAGGGCTCAGGGGGCGGCGGGCGCTCCACCCCAGGGCGCGGCGCCCCCGGCCGGCGCGGAGGAACTCTACGAGATCCTCCGGCTTGCGCGCTGGGGGAGCTCCACAGTGGAGCACCTGGGCGGCGGGACCTACCTGGTCCGGCGCGGGCAAGGCAAGGCCGGCCACGCCTGAGGGCGGCGGGCTGGCGCCACAACGCCCCCCCAGACCAGGCCAGCGAGCCGCCGAGCTCGGACGGCGCTGACAGCGATGGCGCCGACCTCCAGGCGGCGTACGACGCCCTGGACGTCTGGGCCGTCACCAAGCTCGGCTCGGCGCGAGCCTGGGCGGACGCCGACGAAGCGGGCCACGGCGACGCCGCGGAGCCTGCAGGACCCAGCGCGGGGCAGCCGGCCGCTGCCTCACCAGCAACAGGCTCGGCTGCAGCCGCCCCGGGCGCGGCTAGCTCACGCGGCGCCGCGGCGAGCGCTTCCCCCGGCGGGGAGGCGGCCCGCGGCGAGCTGAGCGGCGAGGCGGCGCGCGCGCCAGCTGCGCGACAAGCAGCGGCTGCCCCCCCGCGCCGCGAGCGGACGAGCGGCGAGCGCCCCCCCTGCGGGAGCGGCCCGCGCCGCTGCGGCGGCGGCTGCGGCGAGCTTCGCGGCGAGCGCCCCAGGGGCGGCCCGCGGAGCCGCCGACTCCCCCGAGCCCTGGATGCGTCTTAAAGAAGAAGCGCGCTTCTTTAAAACGGAGCGCGCGTCTTTATGAACGAGACACGCATCGTTTAAAACTTGCTTGCGTCATTATAAAGCAGCACGCGTCATCATAGGCAGCTTTTTTTGAAACAAGACGTGCAGGGCGTTTTTTTTTGTTTGGGCCCAATTGAAACGTGATATCTCCGTCCGCGTTCTAAGATATAACTACATGGAACCCTGAACCCTACCGCGCCAAGGGCATGTAAGTAGGGAACAGGAGTGTACCGAGGGGCGCGCGCCCCTCGGGGCACTCCTGTTCCCTACTTGCAATCCTCTTCCACGCCAGCACCATCATTATGTTCGTTCCTCCTCTGCCTCTTACGTACATGCGGAGTTATGCGGTCATTAAATTGTAAGGACATCTCAAGCGGGAGCACGACCTTTTGAAATTCATCCGTGTTTCGACAGCAGTCCGCGCTACGTTGCGAACATGTCTCAGGCAAAACCTCTCGTCAGGAGGTCCGCCGCCTCGCTGAGGGGCCAGACGGGGGACTGCCACCAAGCATTTCGAGAGAGGGGCAGGCGGGGATCTGCCGCCAGGCATCCTCCAAGAAAAAGCGAGCGTGGGGAAGGGCAGCCGAAACGCCATTCGAATAGCAGAATATCAGACGCAGCAGCTGCAAGGTTGCAAGAACGGGACGGCAGGGCGGTCAAAGGGGCGCCCTCAAGGCATATGTAAAATCAGGGGCGCCCTCGAGGCATATGTAAAATATCTCTGCGATCGCGTACTTAGTACTTCAAGTGAACCCATTTTAGCAATACCATTGGCGCGAGATGGTTCGGGTGAAGGCTCTGTGCGATTTCTTTCATGATCTGTTGAAGGTCCTCATCACTGTAGGTCCAGAAATACCCCGGGTTCAGATGGGTCTGTTTTTCGCACAAATGAACGAATGTGTGAAACTTAGGTGTCATTTTCCAGGCTCGGATGTTCCGCCCCAGAGCTTCCGAAGATAGTTGTCCATATATCTGAACAAACGTGGGCCCCAACATTGATAATTCTCGCTTCACATCGTTAGGCAAGTAGCGATCGTTCGAGTACAGCAGATGGTAGAATCTCGTAAGCAGCTGACACGATGCCAATCTCAACTTATCATGGCGTGTGTTCGTGTTGTGCTGGGTGGCCAAGTGAAGCGCGTACGGCACTAGGCAGCGGGTGGCGGCTGCCTTGGCCTGTGGAGGATGGCAGTGGGGGCGCAAGAGCAGATGAGGAGGAAGAGGAGGAAGATCGATGAAGAGGGGGTGATGAGCAGGGAGGATGAAGAGGAGGAAGAACGATGAAGAACATGGGAGGATGGCGAGGAGGAAGAACGATGAATACGAGTAGGATGACACCCGAATCAGGCCTTCAACTTCGGCCAATCCTTCCCAGTTTTTAGCCTTGCGTATGAGAGGGCACCTTGAATCTTATGCGGGTCAACTTGCGTGGCGTACCACCTCTTCATACATTTTACCAAGCCGTCCAATTGTGCTGATTGGGCTGCGCCCCAAACTCCAGACTGCATAATCTCAATGAATGCGCTCGCCACCAAGTGGCTGGCGATCCCCAAGTCAATCGTGTGAAGGATATCCACCATGATTCCCTCATGCCGCAAAGTTGCCATGGCGAAACACGGGCTAATTGGCTTGCCATTCCGAGCGCATTGGAGAATAAACTCATTGTGATCGATTCCAGCCCACCTCCAAGCTGCAAGATCGTCAGCGCGGGTGTAGCAAAAAGGGCCTGGTGCTAACGTGGCTGCGCACATGAAACAACAGTTCCGTTCATTCCACCTGTTGACGTACAAATAATCAGAATAGAATTCCCCATCACCTCGCATCTGAATGCACGCAAACGTGCGTCCACCGCAGAGAGTGCGTCCTGACTAGGGGTGGCGTTGATCTGAGTTGTACTTTTGATCGGGCATCCGACCATGCAGCAGTGCGTTAAAACTCCAAGCGATGCGATTGATCAATTGCCCAAACATTTTGTTATTCATCTCGCTCTTCCTGAAAACGGTGATCACTTCCCTCGTTACCTCGGTGCTGCCACTCCCAACCAAGCTGTTAAACTGCAGCGTGAAGAGACCTTCTGTCTTTGTAGTTGGGGCGCCGTCTCCATGGAGCCCCAGTGGGATTGTTGACGGCTTGATCGTTGAAGCATTGGCTCGAAATAATGGGGCGTCGCGCATCTTTTCCCAAAACACTGTAGTTTCACCAGGTTGGCCAGCAATCTGACCCTCAAAGATGGAACCGTCACTATTTCTCAATGCTTCGAGCGTGTCAATAGGATCAATAAAAGGATGAAACAATTGATGTCCAACATCGGTGGTCAGTTCAATCCAGCTTGTTCTAGGCGCCGCTCTCGGATAGCCGACGGCCTTCAATACAGCGCGGAAGGCGTGCCGAGGCTGGGCAGAGCCCCCAGCGTATTCTCCGACGCCCTTCGCCCCTTGGGCGCATGCTGCCCTGGCCAACTCGAGAAACAATGGGCTGGTGATGGTGCCTTTTGCCCATTTCTGACGTAGCAAGTCGTTCAAGGGCGTTGGCTCTTCTTCGGCTGGGGCATCGGCGAGCTCGAGCCTCCGCTTGATGCCACTTCGCGGCCGCGAAGCTTCGTCCGAAACGGGCTGGGGGCTCTGGCATTGAAGGCCGAGAAGCTGGCGTATGCCAGGAGACCTGATAGCATTGCAGTCGGGCACAGGGACTGCAGGCGCTGATGCCTGCAATCGCAGGCGAATGCCTTGGCCCTTGGGCGCCATGAGAACGATTGCGCACAAAATCATAACAGGGTTCATGATATCCACGCGATCTGCAACCTTGAGTTTGAGCCAAAGCGGCTACGCACGAGGAGGATGAGGACGAGGCGGAGGGGGTGTCAGGACAGAGAAGGGACCGAATGATATAGTTAGACTGGGCTGTGGAGACGGGTGTGAAAGCCGATCCAGGATGGGGCGCAACGTATTTAGGGCAGGACTTGTAGACGCATGCAGAATGAACACGATGGAGACTGATGGCGGACGGGGGGATCTTTCGGAGAATTGTGACGCCCCTGGTGATGATGCGGACGACGGCACCGATGGCGATTTCACCCGAGCTTCATTGCGAGGATGTCTTGACCAATCTCTGGCGTGTCCGATCGCATCTTGCACGCAATCGAAAACTGGCCTCTCGCTGCTAGAACTGTTGGCGCGGCTGCTTGTCAAGATCCTAGTTTCTCCACTCGTCCTGTTATGTCTTCTCTGTTTCTCGTCCTTGCTCTCCTCCCTCATCCCTCTTATCCTTCATCATCTTGCTCCCTCTTGTTTCTTATTCGCTTATCCCTCATGGTTTTGAGTGCCGCTCCCGCCATCCCCCCCCCCCATCCGTCCCTTCCTCCTCACTCCTCCCCCCCTCTCCTCCCCCCATCCTTTCCCCCTCCCTTCCCTCTGCTCCCTCCTCCCCGTCTCTCCCCTCCCCGATCTGCTGCTACCTCAAGTGCCTAGCGCTGGCATGCGCGGCCTCAGGCCAAGCGACGGTCTAGAGCCTCACCAGGCCATGAACTGGAGAGCCGTTCAAGGACTCAGAAGCGTAGAACGTGTCTACGAGGCCTTTCCCTTCTTCGCAGAGCTCTTAGGTACCAGCTTCTGGTACCACCCCACCATCTCGTTGAAGTGATCGAAGGCGCTGTCGAGGTTCGTTGACACGGCAAGCAAAGTCGGATCGTCAGACGCCTTGTCGACGATTGCCTTCTCGATCTTCTTGTAGGTGGCAGTCAGCTCCGAAACGACCTTGGCCGATTCATCGCGCAGCTCCCCCATGAATTTCTTGCCCTTCGTGTCGACGAAGACCTCCTTCGCAGTGACCAGCACCTTGCTCACGTTGACTGCGACCTTCTTGGGATCCTTCTTCATGGCCTCCAAGGTTGCAGCATGTGGCGAGGTCGCTTTGTCTGCAGCGTCCTTGCTCTGAGCGCCCTCAGTGCCAGGTTCCTTCTTGATGGCGACGTTGGCCGAGCATGGCGACCCAGAAATGCAGGATGCCATGTCCGCGAACCTGTCCGCGGCTTCCTTCTTCTGCTCCTCGGATACCAACTCGAACGTTGTCTGAATGTTGCTCTCGTCGACCGTGGCGTCATCGTCGCGCTCCGAGTCGAGGGTGACCCTGTACTCCCTGTTCCACATGTCGTCCAGCTTTGTGTCTGGATCAGGCCGATGGCGACCTGGGATTGCATCCAATACTCTGGCTTTTTCTTTTGCTTTTGCCTCCCCGAACTCGGTGATCATCTTGGAGAGGGACCACCAGTTCACTTCGGCGCGCTTCAGCTTGGACATCGAAGTCCTCCTCGTCGTCGACTCCTTGCCAGTTCCCTCGGCAAGCTTCTGAGCAAAATAACACTCAAAGAACTCTCTGCGTTTCGAGATCGGCCAGTTGTCGTACACGCCCTTGGTGCCATTCTTCTCCAGGAAGGCTGTCATGTTCGAGCGTTGGCGCTTCGCCTCGGCAGCGCCCTCCAAAGTTTTCACGGCCTTCTGGCGCTCAGCGGGGGTGACGCATGGCACCTCCAAGACCCTCTTCTTGGGCGGCATGGCGAAGATGGGCTCTGCAGGTGGGCCTGAAGTGATCAGACCTGAACCTGAACGGCTGTGAAAAAACAGGGGTGGTAAAAAGACAGGCAAAAGACAGGCAAAAAACAGCCTGTATTTTGTCTGTCTTTGGGTGGTTTTCCGTGTGAATTTACAGGGTTTGGGCGCCCAAAGACAGGCAAAATACAGGCTGTTTTTTTCCCGGCTTTTTCCCGGCTTTTTCCCGGCTTTTTTCTCGTGGGCGCCCTAGGGCCTTCCCCCGTCCTCTCCCCCCCCCTCTCCTCCACTTCCTCCTCGCACTCCCTTCCACCCACCAGTTCTGCTTGTTCTGCCTCTTGTCCACATCCTCGTTGTCATTCTCCCCCCCCCCCTCATTCGCAGCCTGCCCATCTTTTCTCCAAGACGGCCTCCAAGACGGCCTCCAAGACGACCACCAAGCCTCCAAGATGGGTTCCAAGACGGCGCCTCCAAGATGGCCCCCAAGTTGGCCTCGACGGGCCAGCCTACACAACATCCGAGATCGCCTCCGTTTTGGGCCCCAAGACGGCCTCCAATATGGCCAAAGACGGCATATGGCATTGCCCTCGTGAGTTCTCATATCTTGTAGCCTCAACGCGCATGCCTTGCTTCTGAGATTCAGGGGCTGACTATCGTGCCAATCCAATGCTGAGGATCTCATGTATTAGGCAGTGCGATGTGTCTGTTGACGCGCGCTGGTAATGACGACAACAGTGGCGACGTTGATGATGACGTGGGCGTTGCTCAGGATGAACGTGGTGATGATGTTGATGATGTTTTTTTTTTTTCATGCGCTACTTGGGCACCTCGCACCCGCTGCGACGGTTAAAGAGAAAGGCTTATTGATGGCCGCCTGTCTAAGCATGCAGCACCACTGGGAACGATCTGGCGACTGAGAGTGCGAAAGTGCTGCACGTCACGCATCGGAGGCCGACCGCTTCAGAATTTTCTTCGGCGGTTCCTCATCAGGCTCATTGACGGCGTCGATTGTTGCCTTGAGCTCAGCAAACTTCTCTTCGAGGGGCTGGAGCGTGCGCTCCACGAAGTGCTTGAGTGAGAAGCTGCGCTCAGGCTCCGCAGAGTGGGCTTTCTCCATCTCTAGAGAGCTGTAGGCAGTCGCAATCTGCAGGGTGAGGTCCTCAGCGGCGGCGGCCAGCGAGCGAGCGCACTTCGACTTCAGGGCTTCGAAAGTGGACCAACTGGCGATCACAAGGTTCATCGAGACGAACTTTTCGGCAATGGCAGAGACCTCGATCTCGTCCCAGTCATCGGAGCCGCCGCCGCCGTTGTCCTCCAGAGCGTTCGGGTGGGGGCCGCCAGCAGATGCCAGATGGAGAGCCCCTTGGCTGTCATAGTACTCGGACGAGGCGGCCTCGACATCGATCGGGGATTCGAGCTGCGAAGACATTGCAAGCACTCGATCGGCATCAACTCGCCGTGAAGCTGGTTAAGCCCAAATGGCTATGGGATGGGAGATGGGGAGGGGTGCTTTCAGGAAGCGCTGGGATGATTGAACAGTGCGTGGCAGGTGCGATGGCGCGACGGCGACGGCGACGGCGGCCGCGACGGCGATTGCAATGACGACGTCGGCTACGATGGCGGCGGCGACAATGGCGGCGACGGCGACGGTGGCGGCGACGATCGCGAACGCCGTCGCATTAGTGACGATCGTCACTAATGCGACGGCGTTCGCGCTCGTTGCAATGACAACCTTGGGGGCCACTGGCCTTTGCAATGGCCTCGACGCCGAACGAACGTGCAGAGCTTAGCGAGACGCGGTAGTGACGATGATGGTGACGAAGGCTTGGTTAACGCATGCCATGCTAGAGCTCATGGCTCATTTATTGACAGCACTTGCAGTGGTGATTGCAGCGGTGGCGGCGACGAAGTTGGCCGTGACTGTGCTCGCGACGACGACGACGTTGTTGGCAGCGTTATCTTACACGCTCTGAGCTTGCTCCCAGCGAGGCCCCCTCGGAGGACCCATGACGCCTCCAAGAGCCCCCCTCAAGAAGCCTTCAAGAAGCACCCGCGGAGCTCCCAGAACCCCTCAGCCGCCCCCAGAGATGCCCCAAACGCACAACGCAAGATGCAAACAAATGGGCTTCGTGGAAATCTATTCTTTGCTTCTCTGTCCCGCATTCCCGCACCTCGCATGCTCCTCCACCTCCTCCTCCTCCTTCTCCTCCTCCCCCTCCTCAAGGTCAGACTTCGGGGCTGTCTCAAGTGTTGTTTTCTACGATCTCTGAGCTTGTGCTAGTTGCCAGCTCCCCATCGCTGGCGCATGCGGTACCAATGTAAAGATGCATCGCTGGATACTACAGTGCTAGTGCGAGGCTGCCCCATGTATACAAAGAAAAAGCACTAGCGATCAAAAGCCTGACAACTTGCGGGAACTCTGATGCCGAACTGCGCCTAAGCTGCTCGCATCGAGCCGGCCTCGAGGGCCTTGAGGGCCTCAGCGCGGGCCCGATCCCTCTCAGCCGTTTTTGCCGTCCCAGCCGCCGAGGCAGCTTTCTTCGCATCACCGTCAGACATGCCCTCTGCGACCTTCGCGTCGCGAGTGTGGTGCCATATTTTGCTGTGCTCGCGCTTCTTGTGTGCTTTGAACTCTGCATCGGTCATGCTCTCCAAAGACGCGCTGGCAGCTGCTGGCCTCTTCAGAGCAGCAGCCTTCTTCTTGCCCTTCGTGCTGTGCTTGCCGCCCTTGCCCTTCTTCTTGGTCGCGGCCTTGGCCTTGGGCTTCGCCGCAGCCGCCGCCTTCTGCTTGTTGAGAGCCCTCCAGTCGCGGTCGCTCGGTGGAGTGAACGGCGCCAGCGCGAGAGCTTGGATCTCCGCCGACGCCAACGGAGACGAGGCTGGCACTTGTGGTTCGGGGGCCGTAAGTGGTTGAGCATCTTCTGCTGGGTCCCCCGCCTGGAGGAGCTTCAGAAGGTCGGGGTCGGCACTGGTCAGGAGCTCGTCTGCGTCGAACTCACCATCGTCATCTGAGTCCCAGATCTCGACGATGTCGGTGACAGCCTTCACGGGCGACATCACGACAATGTCCTCGTCGGCGCGGGCCTCGTCCTCCTGCAGGGTGATCATGTCGAGCACCGACGAGAAAGATTCTGCATAGCCTGTCGGAATCGGCCTAGTCTTACTTTTCTGGAAATGGAGTTGGCTGATCAGCGCGCGCAGCTTGTAAGCTGCCTTCTCGATGACGGCGTCGGTCAGCTTCATATCATTCTCTGTCGCATACTTCTGGATGCCGCGCTGCAGCGATGTCTGCGTGACATTCAACCCACCGCTGCGCTCAAGGATACACGAGACAACGTGGGCTAGTGGTTTGGCCTCTCTCCACAAAGGGGCCCGTCCGAACTTCATCTTCGAGTACAGTATAAAATCTCCATTCTTGTGCTGTGATTCTGGCACGCGAGACATGGCCTCTGAAACGTGTTTCTCAGAAATCCTTGCATAGGAGAACCACGGCATTCGTAAAAACAAATGGGCACAGCACTGATGCCCTGGTCCAAAATGGCTATGTTAGACGGAAGGCGGTGCAACGGCCCAAGATAGGTGGCACCACGAGGGCCAACGTTAACGCTGGCCCGTTGTGCCACCAGGCTGCAAATTGTAGGCTGTTGGCCCTCGTGGTGCCACCAGGCTGTGTTAGAATCCAGCGCTGGATTCTAGCACAGCCTGTAAATTGTTGCTCTCTGTGCCTTTGGAGGGGGAGCCGAACGCCAGCAACTTACCCATGTTTGGGACGCTTCAGTTCCACAAAATTCTAGCGGGGCTCTTTCGCTAAGGTCGCAATTCTGAAAATCGGCATTCCCCATCACGCGGACCGTGAAGGTGAGGTATCACAACATGTAAGGTTTTGCAACAATCTGGAACCTTGTGACAACCCTTCACGCAGATCGGCAGGGCCCAAATTGTGCCCTCCCGCCTCCGACCCGTGAGCCTTTAGAAGAAGACGCAGTCAAGTCCATGACGAAAACACACAACCTCGAGATTATCCTCTTCCTCTTACTCTTACTCGTACTCGTCTTCTTAGTCTTACTCGTTCTCGATCTCGATCCTCGGTCCTCTTAGTCTTACTCGTTCTCGATCCTCGGTCGCCTTCCATTGCGCACGTTCTTCGTCTTCCTCTTATTCGTCCCTCCCTTCCTCCTCCTTCTCTTCCTCCTCTGCTTGCTCCTCCTCCTCCTCCTCGCCTCCTTTCTCCTCCTCCTCCTCCTTCCCCTCCTGCTCCCTACTCCTTCTCCCCCATTATCCTCATCCTGCTCCTCCTCCTCCTCTGTATTTGTCCGCGGCCGTGGCCCGTCGATTAATCGATTGTGTCTGAGCGATTGCCTGGAGGAGGGGCGCTAGAGGGAGGAGGGGGGAGGGATGAGGAGGAAGAGGAGGAGGAGGAGGAGGTAGGGAGGAGGGACGAAGGATGAGCGGAGGAGGAAGGAAGAGGAATATGATGGGGGATGAGACAACGGAGGAAAAATTAGGAAGTGGCGGGAGAAGGAGGATAACGAGGAGCAGAAGGGCACTGAGGGCTGAGGAAGGGGAGGAAGATGATGATGAGGAAAAGGGGACGGAGGAGACGAGGAAGAGGAAGGAGAGGGAGAGGAGGAGGAGGAGGAAGAGGAGGAGGAGGAGCGAGCCATTGCACATATATCATCATTATCAGATCCACCCCTGCGGCCTCATGGAGGCCCTGGGGGAGGAAGGCGTCTTTTTTTGAAAAATGACGCCTGCGGCCTCTTTCTTAAAGTTAGCCAGGCCGAAAAAGAAGCATGTGGGGGTCGGGGTCGGGAGCGGACGGCAGCTGGGACGGCCCCGCGGCCGGCGCCGCGGCGAGCGCTTCCGCGACGGAAGCGGCCCGCGGCGCCGCGGGCGCGGACACCGCTCCCGAGGGCGCGGCGAGCGCCCCCAGGGCGAGGGCGGCCCGCAGCCGCGGCGCCGCGGACGCGGTTGCCGCCCCCGAGGGCGCGGGCGCGGCGAGCGCCCCCGGCGCTGCCGGCGGCCCTCGGCCCCGCTGCTGGCGAGGGCGGCTCGGAGGGCTTCCTGCCCGCCCCGGAGAGCCGCGCCGAGGCGGCCTGGACGCCAGCCGCCGCAGCCACGGGCCGCGGCCGGCAGCGCTTGGCCCGGGAGGCCACCCGCCGGGCTGCGGCTGGCGCAGGCGGCGCCGGGCGCCTGGGCGAGGAGGCGGTGGCCGGCGCCGGCGGCGCAGCGGCGGCGCGCGCCGCCACGCCGCCCGCGAACGCCTCCCCGCCGCGGGGGAGGGCGGCCGGCGCTGGCGCTGGCACGGACTCCGCGGAGAGCGGCGACGAGGCCGCCCTCGAGCTCGCCTACGCGGAGCTGCGGGACGCGGCGCGCGCCCGCGTGCGCGAGGGAGGCTGGGCGATGGCGCGGGAAGTAGCGTCACTGCTGCAGGTCTCCCTGCGGGGCCTCAGCTTCCGCGAGGCCACGGCTCGGCTCGCGGAGGCGGCTGGGGCGCTCGCCAGGCACGAACCGGCGGCCGCCGTTGCGCGCGGGCGCATGCTGCAGGCTGCCGCCGCTGGGGCCGCGGCGGCCCCGCTGGCCGCTGGGCCAGCCGCGGCGGCCCTAGGGCTGTCTGGCGCGGCGCGCCGCCGGCGGCGTGGCGCGGCCGGGCAGCCGCTGGGCTGCTGAGCGGAGCCGGGCGCGGCTCCTGCGGCCCTCCCCGCCCCTCCCTCTCTCCCCCCCTCTCGCCCCTCGCGCCGCTTTCTGTCGTGTCGTCTCTTCGTCGTCGTTTCCCTTTCTCTTGCCACAGGGCTCCTTCGTGCAGGTAAAAAGTGCCCCAGGGTCTGAAGCCTCCTGAACACATTCCTTAACTAGCGCCCCAACCGTCTGCGCCCTCCTTGGCGGCATGCATCTGACCAGATGGAATAGCACAGCAATCATACAGCATGCTGTTACCCCAGCAGTATGGCCAGAAAGCGCCCGCTGCAGAGCATGAACTACACGATGTTTGAGCACACGCGTCGCCGCTCTGGGGGCGACGTACACATAGTACAGGCACGTTCAGGTGACGCCGATCCTCGGTGAGCTTCCTGGAGCCCACGATCGCGCCAGCGTTGAGAATCAGCGCGCTGACGCTCAACTTCGAAGCCTGGAGAAGCTCCACGAACCTGCGCACGGTGCGCGGGGAGGCAAGGAAGACCCTGAGATCCTGGCGTTGAACTTGTTTCACAACGGGCGTTCTCGCCCAGTTTCGGGTCCCGTGACCCTCACGTATCGATCCTGCTCGCAACATGACGCAGAACGATGCGGTCCATGGCTCTGGACGTGATTGCTTGCGACGTTGCATGTGTTTTTGCAACGTCGGATCCTGGGGGAGGGCAACTCATGCGAGCCTGCCATGTCATCGTGCTGGCTCGACCGAATCGACGCTAACCGACGCTACTCGACGCGAATCAACAGTAATTGACGCTAAATCGACGCTACTCGACGCAAAAAACGGCGATGCCTCTTCAATTACCAGACGCCAGCGCACGCTAACGCACCCTAGTAACGAAAGGCCGAGGACATAGAAGGCTCCCACGAGTTGCAACCGAAAGAGGTAGAGGAACACAAAACTGCACAAGCCTAGTGTCTCGGACGTCCGCACGGATTTCTTGGATCGGCGCTGGACCCCCCTCCCTGGCGCGCGGAGCGCGGAGCGCGCCAGGGGCGACGCCAGGGGGGCCCCGCGCCGATCCAAGAAATTCGCGCAGATGTCCGAGTCATTATGTTTACGTACCTTTGCCGTCTTTCCTTCTTCTTCGTCGAGGAACGTTGGCGGCGCGCAGAGAGGGGTAGGAGGAGGGGGACGGCTTCTTAGAAGGAGGCTGCTTGTTTGAAGGCGCCGGCCCTACATCTACAGAGAAGGCCCACGCCCTCTAAGAAGCGAGGGCGCTTCTAAGAAGCCTCCCCCCCTCCCCCCTGCCCCCCTCTGCGCGTGGCCGAGAGGCGTGCCATCGCTCAGACGTCCCATCCCTGTGCATTTTTCGGTTTCGTGCGTGTTTCTGTTTGCTCGATGATCCAGGTTCTCCTCCAGGGTCCTCGCCGAGAAAAAATGCACGCGTCCGAGCGATGCCAGGGAGAGGGAGCTGCGCCAGCAGGAGCAGCGGGCCGCAGGAGGTGCCCCAAGCGCCCCGCGGGAGCCTGCGCACGGAGCCGCAGGAGCAGAGGTCCAGGGGCAGGAAGCGCAGCTGGCCCTCCTCGAGCCCCACGCCCGACGCCCTCTCCGGGGGGACGCAGAGGTGGGGCAGAGGGTCAGAAGTGGGGTTAGAGGAAACTCGCTTGAAAGATAAAACGAAGCCAGGACGAAGATAACATCGGGTGGGGATACATAAAGAATCTCTGAGATCCGGCGGCTCTCGAAGATGTCTTGGGCGCCGCGGCCTTCCCCGAGCGTTCCAGACCGCTCTGAGAGCATCCTGGAACGCTCTGGAACGGATTTGTCCTCGTCCTAGCCCCGTCTGGAAAAGCCCCTGGAATAAGGAAGTGTGAGCATCTAGCTGGCGTCCTTCTCTAACCCCACCTTGGGATGACTAACCCGCCCCCTCTACGAACCCCTAACCGTTGGATGATGCCGTCAATGGCAGCCCGCGCGCGATCCTCACTCCTGCACGCGAAGACGACAGTGGCGCCAGCACGCACAAGGGCTTCGGCCGTCTCTAGGCCGATTCCGGCGCTGCACCCTGTCACGACGTAGGCCTTGCCACGAAGGCTGCCGGCTCCGAGACTGGGCACTGGCCCGCGCACAATGTGGAGGTACGACGCGGCGACGAGCAGCACGTCCAGCGCGAAGACTGCCAATCTGAGGGCGCCTTTCTTATATCGCGTTGTTGGCGCTGTCTTCTGTCTGGATTACGGATTACCCCCACGTGCCTGGGGGAAAACATGTATGCATGGGTGTGAGTCTGAACACATGAGAAAAAGGGCAGACGTCTTGTCAGAGAGAGAGGTGTGCGCTTATGTTCCATATGCACATCGTAGGTCAATACATGGTATGCGCATACGTGGGTACTTGACCCCAGTGAATAAATGTGTATAGACGCACATTTCTGTCTCTACATTGATACCCGTACGCACTAAAACCCTCATGCGCGCTTCGAGCAAGCTTTGGTTCAAGCAAGCTGTGACCATAGTCTCAGAGTTAGAAACACCGGAATGAAGATAGTGAACAAAACGTAAGCCATGACCAACGCCTAACCTTGGAGCAGTGTGCTGAAGCTTTCCCCCTCCCCCCTCCGGGTCCCACACGGATATCACGCGAAGAACTCCAATCACCCCCGAACTCTGCAGCGCAACCCATTGTAGAGGAGGAGTCAGCGCATCCACCTCCCACAAGCCCTTCCATTCCCTCTCCTCCCCTCCGTGCTCTCCCTGTTCCTCTCAACTGTGTTTGCGTCCTTCGATCCTCCCTCACCATCCCTCGCTGCGGCATGCGGGCAACCACGCCACCATGGTTTCGGAGCCGTCTGGGGGGTCTCTTGAATGCCTTTGGGGAATCTCGGGGCAGCCTTGGGCGAGATAGGTCGATTATCTCTCCCGAACAAGCTTTGCAGAATCATCTTCGGGCGTCTGGGACGGACTCGGGGAGCCGTTTGGGATCCTCGAGGCGGCGGTGGGCTTTCTCTCGCCCGACTTGGCCACTCCGACAGCCGCACAGCGATGGCCAGAGGGGACTATTGAAGGGGCTCTGGGACGCACACATAAATAGACACAAATAACAGGATACCCCATAGTTTCCCATGTTTTCTGGGTTTTTGCCTTCCCCCCCCACTTTCCATATTTTGGCATAAGTTCTGGGGAATCGAGGGTTCATTGTGTCTGTGTGTTTTTTCCCTTCTGGACTATGCTGTCCGCAAGCGGAGCTTCCGTGCAAGCTGGCCAAGGAGTCTGACGCGCACGTGCGAGAGTGGCATACCGAGCGACCTGCTGAAGAATCCCCGGTGCTAAACAATCCAAAGTCAGGGCCAAGATGACATGGAATGCATGGGGGGGATGCAGAAGTCGTGCACGTCAGAGGTGCAGTGGCAAACTTTGAAACGACTGTGTCTAGCCCACTGTGAGTGGCACTTCTGTAAGGCAGTGCAATCATACGCAGAAGGCGACCACGACAACGTCAGCAACGACGACGACGACGACGACGACGACGACGTAGACGACGACGAAAACGACGACGAAAACGACGACGATGACGACGACGGCGGCGGCGGCGGCGGCGGCGGTGGACGGAGGGAGGGGGAAGACGGAGCAAGAGAACGAGAGAGAGAGAGAAAGAGAGAGAGAGAGAGAAGCAACAAAAGAAGATGGAAAGAAGGAGAGAGGCCCTGCCTGAAGATGGAAAGAAAAGGAAAGATGCCCTGCCTGGCGGCGCCGTGCACCCAGATCCCGACGGCCTGCGCCAGCGACGGCGCAGAGGCAGCTGCCAGGGCCCCGCCGAGGAGGACCAGCACGCCCATGTCGGGGTGCTGGATCTCGTGGTGCATATCGTGGAAGCCGAACACCACGGCCACGTACAGCGCCGCCGCGAGCGACCATGGCTCCAACACGCCCGCAGGCGCGCCTGCGATGACCGCGACGACTGCCACGGTGGCCGCAGCGGTAGCTGCGGTCCGGCGCATGCCCCGGCCCTGGCGCGCACAAGCGCGCTCCCCGGGCGCCTCCAGTCAATCAACGCTTTGAGACGACGGGGCGCGCCGTAGAATGCGGCCACGGGGGGAGCAGAGAAACAAAGAGCGGATAAACACAACTTGTTGGAACTCCGCGCGGATCTATTGGATCTGTGCTGGATCCTCCTAGCGGCACTTCCGGCGCAGCCCCTGGCGCGCTTCGCGCGCCAGGGAGGGGCGCCCAGGGCAGATCCAAGAAATCCGCGCGGAGCTCCCCAAATCTGTGCTTATGCAGTTCTCTGTCTTCGAAGACTGCGGCCGGGGGGGAGGGGGGGGCGAGTGTGCGAGCGGCGCTGCTGTCCGAGGGGCTCGAGCACAAAATTGCTGCGGACGGGGGCGAGGAGGGAAAGTCTCCTGGGGCCTCCGAGGTGGGGTCCGAGCAGATGGTGTTGGAAGATCGCAACGCGTCGCCGATGCATCGGCGATGCATTGGCGGTGTCGACGTGGAGAAAATCGGGCTCCATATCGATGCGCCGCATCGCCGAAGCATCGCCGATGCGGCTCGATATGGAGCCCGATTTTCTCCACGTCGACACCGCCAATGCATCGCCGACATCGCCGATGCATCGCCGATGCATCGGCGACGCGTTGCGATCTTCCAACACCATCTGCTCGGACCCCATTTGAGCGACGAAAAGACACGGGCCTTACGCAGGATGGCGTGGCGACCTTACGCCGCAGCTTACGCTGGCCGCCAGCGCGGCACACAGCCTGGAGAACGAGGGCGCCTACGCGTGACCTGACCCGGGAAGCTTACGCGCGAACGTCCGCGCAGTTGAACCCGTTGCTCTTCGTCGCCCATTTGGCAGGGCCAGAGATGAAGGGAGTCTCCAGGGGGCGGGGGGAGGGACACCCCGCGCCGACGGACGAACAACACGCACACACACACACTCACACACACCGAGATACCCACAGGGGGGACGGGGAGGGCTATGGATGCCCTTTGTAGGATGTGGGTCCCCGCTCGAACGGAAGCCTCCCTTGGGGTCCGACAGCCCGCACCTATATCCCTAGCCAGTCCTCCTTCCTCCGACCTCTCCATAGGTATGGGCTATGGGTGTGAGTTGTTCGTTCGTCACCGCCGACGGACCCGCCCCCGTCGCGGACTGTCGCCGTGCGCCGAAGACGCTCCGGCCAGCGACGCGACACGCCGACGAGGCGAGGCTAACCCCCGTCGGGGTGAGGTCCCCGCCACGGCACGATGAACAAATCCGCCGACACTGTCGGCGAGTGGGATACGCTTTTCCGTTTGACTCGTCGTCGTCGTCGTCCTCGCCGTCGTCGCCGTCGGCGTCGCCGTCGCCGTCGCCGTTGCCGATACCTTCCGTTTCGCTGCGCCCTCCTCTCCCATCGCCAGCTACAAGGAGATTCGGGAAGCCGTAGTTGAACCGAATGGAGGCCCCTTTCAATTGATTCCTTCCCGCGGGGGGGGGGGGGGGAGATCCCAGGAGAGGGGGGGTCCCGGGTCAGAATACAGCGCCCCTGGGTTCCCGTGGGGCGCGAGGGGGGTCGCCAGCGAGGGTCTCGGGGAAGGTCCCGCATACAGGCTAGGCCGCGCCGTCTTAAGTGGTACCAAGCTTGGGTCCTTTCTCCCGACGAGCATATCTCAGAGCGGGGGCTCTTCCTGGGACGATGCGCATCGAAACCGAAACTCACCTCAGCATCATCGACGACCAGGGAAACTCAGTAGTGCGGCCTGCCCATGGGCCCGCAGGCTTGCTTCGGACATCAACTCGCTCGCAAACATTGGCGACGAGAAGTTCGAAAATATCGCAAAATTCGATTGCATCCCCGTGAACGCTTTCCAGAATGAGGAGCCCGTCGACGGGTTTACCCGATATGATATCAACAAAACGTGGGGCCCATTGGGTCAGCGTCAGCACCCCTCCTTCTGGCCATCGTGCTCCCCGGCCCCCGTCCGTCACCCAGGACCCAGACCAGGACAACGAACCTGGAGATCATACATGCACTGCACGTGGGGGGGTGCGTCGATTCCATACTCGTCGACAGCTACTGGCACACCTACATACTCATGACGGCTTTCTTGCAGTACTATCTCAGGCAGTAGTTACCCATCACTGTGTTGTAGGTGGCACGACGGCCGAGAACACGAACTGTACATACGAACACTTAGTCAGATCATTCAGGGCAGGTGCACGCACAACATCCAGGAACACAACCGACCAGGTCCGTCGTGATGGTGATTCGCACCGTCGTCCGTTCATCCTTCGTCTTCAAAGCTGCAGGCTCATCTTTCTCAGTGCCAGCACCTTCCTTTAATCGACTATAGAAGTCGAGCAGCCCCCATCCTAGATCGCAGCCACCAAGCTCAAGTCCGACGAGGGCGGCACCGCGCAGAGGGAGGGAGGGAAGAAGGCCAAGCTCACTCAACTCAAGGCCCAGATCGAGACGGACACGGCTGGCGGCGCTGTCGGTCCACTGGCCTCATCACAATCCTGGCGAGGCTGTGTCTCAGCAACAGTCGCGAGCTGGCGGAGCTTATCGGCGCCAAGTACACCTGCTTCTTGCTCCAACCAGCGGCGGTCATCGCGGCTATTCTCAAGCAGGCTGGAGTGGACTACAACGAGAAGTGCAAGAGCGAGGGCACAGATCACTCGAACGGACCGCCTTGGCCACACATATTCGTGCCACTGGTGCATGTCATCGCCACCTCGACCGACATGACGTTCCCCGAGGCTCCCAAGAAGGTGGGCCAAGACTAGAACGTAGTGGTCAAGAAACCGACGGAGCAGGACCTGTCGATGTTGCGGAATCACATCAAGTTCTTCAGGCATCGCCCATGCCAATACGACAAATAGAAATTCGGCACTCCCCAGAAGTACAATATTCGATTTACGGTGCAGCAACAAGTAATCAGCGTTCCCGATGCGGATGGCGCGGGAATCATGGCACTTCACGAAGCAGTTTGTCAGATGATGTTCCATTGCAAGGGCGTCTACAAGCCAAGCAGTGCACCCAGAGGAGCAGAGGAGCCCTCGAACGCGACGCGGAGATTCTCATTCAGGTCGGCATCGGCAACAAGAGCGGCCCGAGCCAGGTCAAGGGCGGTAAGCGCAAGAGCAAGGGCGGCGGGGGCAAGGCCGAGGCGGCAGAGGGAACCGGAGCTGGATGACGGCACGCTTTCAGGATGAAGCGGCTTCTGAGAGGATCAAAGGTATGGCAGTGCGAGGTCTGCTGAATGGTAAGGCTCCCTGTCGTCTCCCAAGTAGGTCGGCCACCCCTATCTTCAAATGTCAAGCAGGTGATAAATTGTTCGACGTTTCATGTTTCAGGTGCCCCACCTGAACTCGAGCCAAGTCTTGAAACCTTGCTTGGGCCTGTCTCCATTCAGACATTGGTTACCGATCTCCCCATCTCCTCGTACGAGCCCCCTTTGCCATTCCCGCTCCTGGCTCCCTCCGCCCGTCCTCCGAACCGGATCAGAGCAGTAGAAGATTACACTATTGGCCTCAGGTCGGGCCTGTCCCCCTACAGGGGGATTTTGGACGAAAAATAAGAAACACCTCCAAAATATTTTGAAATATTCACATATACCCCCAAAATGGTCCCCATACTATTTTGTGACTATTTTTGAATGTTCCCCCTGTAGAGGGACAGGCCCGACTGAATATCAGCCTCTGGAGGGCGGCTTAGAGGTGTCCCCTGTGGGCCGTCCCTCTATAGGCCAGAGGTGTCCCCCAGCGGAGCCGCTGGTAGGACTTTTCCATGCGCAGCACATAGCCATCTAATACATAGAATCTCGACCGCTCGAGGTGGTCAATTTTCCCTGGGTCCCAAGACGCGACACGATGGCTCACAAATGGTATTGTTTTTTGTTTGATCTTGCCGGAAGCAAGTAACTAAGCAAGGAAGACATTGCTTGGCAATGCGTGGCTTTGCGTGGCGTTGCTAGAATTTGCTTGGCATTGGTTGGCATTGCTTTGTATTGCTTGGCGTTGCTTTGGGTTGCTCTGCTTTGCGTTGCATTGCTTTGCGTTGCTTGGTATTGCGTTGCATTCCGTTGCATTGCACTGCTTTTCTTGGCATTGCATTGGTTGGCAGTGCCTGGCATTGGCTGCCATTGGTTGGCATTGCATGGGATTGCCTGGAGTTGCCTGAAATTGCGTGGCATTGCATGGGATTGCCTGGCACCGTTGGGCATTGCTCATTCCTTGGCGTTGCTTCAGGTTGCTTAGCCTTGTTTGGCATTGCTTGGAATTGCTTGGCTTTGAAGACAGCGCGGTGGCAATACAAAGCATCCCAAGGAAGGCACTCAGGACACAAGACTAAGCAACCCGAGGAAGACAGGCTGGCGCCTGGACCCGACCAAGCCACAAGGAGGCATATGCACAACAACTAAAAAAGCATACGTGAACTTACTTACATAAGAGAACATATGATAACGTACATCGGCACATAGGCGAGCCAAGACACGAATAATCGTAGACTTACATGTGTACATATTTACAAGCATACACACAAAGCACACATACCATACGTGCACACATGCAAGTATGCACCCATCCATACACATAGATGTCAAGCCTACAATCACAAACGCATACACACCTACGACATGCCTATACATTTCCATGCGCACGCATGCGTGCGCACATACACACACGAACACACGCATGCACACACGCACCTGCACACAAAGCCAGGAAGACCGCTTTCCTGGCCGGTGGGCGCGGACGAGCCCACGCCTCGGCCCGGCGGCGCCCGGCCACCCGACCCGCCCCCGCGGGACGGGGCTCAGTCATCGTAGCCGTCGCCCTCCTCGGCCTGCCGCCGACAGCTGATGGGCGGCGGCGTCCGGGCGGCCACTTCCTGCACGAAAGGGCCCTGGAAACAACAGGGCCGCTCTCCGGAGGGGGAAGGAGGCACCGATGCCGCTGCTCGTCCTGGAGAGGCCTCACCGCCACGGCGGTGCTCTCTTCGAGATCCTCGTCACAACGCACCCCCAGGGACGCCCGTGGGGTAGTGGTATCGGTACCTTTTGGAACCCGCAGCTTTTGCTGCCAACTCCGCTTTGCAATTTGGTTGATGGTTCTGACGCCGTTTTTGTCACTGTTCCGTAGCCGTTTTCTTCCAGGTCCCGGTTCCAACTCCAATCCCGGAGCCGTTTCTGTGGCCGTGTCCGGTCGCCGTTGTTTGACCGTTCCCATGGTCAAGAGGTGCTGGGTCGGAGACGTTGAAACAACAGCCCTGCCTCTTCCGCGGCCAAATGAAGGTCCTGCAGTCTCTGGAGGGCGTTCTGGAAGGACTGGACCTTCTCGAGGGGGGGGTGCGCGCGGAGGGGGGGGGGAAGGGCGGGGGGGGAGCGAGGGCAGGCAGGAGCGGCTCCGAGCACAGAGTCCGAGCTCCCACCCTGGGCCCAAGATCGGCAATGACGACCGCCTGGCTTGGCCGGGAAGGCACATGCACCACCAACCTGAAGGGGCCCTGGGACACACAAATAAATAGACAGAAATAACCGGATCCCCCATATGTTTCTATACTTTCTGTGTTTTCGTCTCCCCCCCCCCCCACTTCCCATATTTCCCCATATTTTCCGGGAATCGACGATTAATTGTGTCTGTGTGTTTTTTCCCCCCTGGCAACCCTGGGCCCGGGACGGGCCCGGCCAGCAGCGCTCAACAACAATGCCTCCAGGAGGGGGGTCAACGGCCCGGACCGCGGAGGGGCGCTGGGCCGCCGGAAGACCCTCTGCCAGCGCTCGTCCCAGGCACGGCAGCCCGCCTCACAGGCATGAGAGCGAGGCCGCTGCTCTCAGCAGGCGTTACAGGCGGACTTCATTGGACAGGACACGCGAGAGGACGAAAGACCCTTCCGAGGGCCACATTGCCGTAGGAATGCAGGAGGCATGGGTCGCGAGACACAGGACACAAAGGTACCCTTGATTTGGCAGGGTCGACCTGCTAATCCGGGCCGACTGTGAGGAGGACTCGGACCGCTGTTCCTGCAAGGCGGTGCCGGAGTCCATCCAAGTAAGGGCAGCCTGCCTGGAGACCATCGGTCTCGCAGGGCCTTGCGTTTCAGCAGGCAGCCTGCAAGCACAAGTACCAGGACCCGGCACGACATGGTGCTGCAACCAAAAGTATACGATTCGGCAGCCGCCGAGGGGCAGCCTGGCGCAGCCGCAGCCGCCTACTTCGAGCTGATCGTCTGCGTGGAGGCGGCTTGCAGATATGACCTGCAGCTGAGCCTCGGAGGCTATAGACCAGCCTGCCTGAAGCCAGAAAAGACTAAGGCAGGTGGGCGTGGTGCCGACCCCAGCGTTGGAGCCTGACACCGCGGGGATCGTTCCACCTTGACCGATCGGCCGCCTCCGAAACTTCGACCGACTCTTGGCCGCCGCCGGCGTTCAACGTTGAACGCCGGCCCCGGGGTCGCCGCGGGTCGACCCGACCCGAACCTACCGTACAGGCCTCACCACCGCCAGAAAAGTAGGTGGCGAGATCCAAACCCTACCTCCAATTTCGCCACATGTTCGACGAGTTCCGAACCCTGCCCCCGCCGCCAATCGAGTTGCCCAAATCGTGGATCGGCAATGGCAGGTTTCGAATTCCGCCGCCGGAGACAACTGCAGAGGGTCGCACCACCGCCTACGGCTACCCTGGGGAAAGCAACAGGTGCCGATACCGCTGCTCCCCAGACCTCTCCCATGGGGTGCGTTCTGACTAGAACTTCAAGGCGAATCCAGCGGCGGCGACGAGGGCCTCCCAGGAGGGCAAAGGGGCGACAACCCAGGGATGGTGGCGGTTTGGGTACCTCTTCCTCCTCCGATACCTGAGCAACAGCGGCCAGAACTGCGGCTACGAGCGGCAGCCGAGCGGCCCGACCATCTCGAGGGCAGGGCCTCCGCCACGCCTGCCCTGCGCAGCGGCGGCCGAGGGCTGCGGACACCGCGAGCACTTCAGGTACAGAGCGGCGCGGCCGCTCGGGAGGGGCGGCCTTCCCGCAGGGGTCGGCCGCTCCAAAGGGTGTGGTTTGCAGAGGGTGCGGTTTGCAACTGGCACCCTGGGGGGCACCCTGGGGGGCAAGCGGGGGCCTCGATGGAGCTCTCCGCCGCGCCCCGCAGAGGCCCGACGAGGACAGTGTCGGGCCCCCTAAGCCCCCACGGCGCCGATCGCAAACCACACCTCGGCGTAACCACAGCTTTTGCAATCGCCGAAGGGGGGCTGCTCATTGTTGTCGAGCTCTCTTGGTACCTGACTACGGACACCGCGGGCACTTCGATTGCCGAGCGGGCGGCCAGGCCGCCCGGGGGGGGGGGGTAGAGGGGTGGACAGGTGGTGGCGGCTGGGGGTGAGGAGGTCAGGAGACATACCAGCTCAGCTGACCCCGATGCGCAGCACGCAGCAAGTGGCGTGTTGGCACGGAGCTCGGCACATGGACTGACGACGCAGGTGTGACGCCATACGTTCGCCCACAAGCGGGCCAACGCGTGCCGAACCGACACGCAGCGTGTTAACACGGACGCCTTGAACACGCTACGTGTTGCGTTTTGAAGCGGCCGCGCCAAAGACGGCCAAGCATACCAGCCGCCCGCGGCTGGGGAGGGAGGAGGAGGAGGAGGAGGAGGAGGAGGAGGAGGAGGGAACCGCCCCCAGAGAGCGCAGTCCTTGGTCAGCGCAGCAGCCTCGCTGCCCCAGCGCTGCGGCGGGCTAAGGCTCGGGCTCTGGCCGTCATCAGACGGTGTGGGCTCTCGAAGCGGTCGGCCGAGCGAAGCGAGTGGTGGGAAGACAGCAATAGATCGGCGGCAATAGCTAATGACAACACCTGATCTCTATGGGAAAACAAACGCTTGTGAAACAACATTCGATTTTGAAAACTCATGCTCGGAAAATCGTCGGGCAGGCACGGCAGAAGGGCCTGGAGAGAGGGGATCGCCATGGGGCACTCAAAATAGTGACGAACGTGGTCTCCTCCAACCGCTTGACAGCCGAATCGACAACAGATGGGACCTTGCTTAAAGCGGCCTGTCGTACTCCACCCGTTGAAGATGGCACGAAATACAGCTATGAGAACAAACTGAGGAAGATGACGAGAGATAATACCAAGGTGCAAGAAGCAGGTGTCAACATCTTTCGGCTCGAGCTCGGGATCGAAGTGTTTCAGCCTGGCACCTAGATACATAGTAATAGGAGGAAGACGCTGAGCAGCAGTAAGATACTTCGTAACTTTAGCTTGAAGATCAGACGTGGCATGATTGTAGAAGTTGGGGATAGAATTGAGACTGTCATGCACACGCTGCAAGTGATTGAAGAACGAGTTCTGGTACCACTCGGGGTACCTCTGCACAAGAACATGTTCATCAGATTCACAGGCCTCGGCATACAAGGTACGACAACTATCAAAAACAGAGCTCCGTTCGGCCACTCGAAAGGCAGCGGCTCGGCATTCAATCTCAAGATGACGGGGCTGAATTTCGATGAAGATTTCTTTGGCATGCTGGATCAGGGCGGGGGCGAACGCATGACGGGGACCGTTAGTGAGGGTCTGATGGGCCTCTCGAACAGCTGTGAGTACTTTTTGGGACGGCGGCAAGAACTGGCCCACGTACATCAGCGTGGGAAACGCGAGCAAGTTGTAGGCCGCGAAGCTGGGGATAAAGCCAAGCCCAAGATTTTTGATGTGCGTAACCCGTCCTTTGAAGGTGCCCAGCGGACCATCCCAGGAAACTTCAGGACCAGGGACTCCAAGGAACAGCCCAAGATACCGACCAGAACGAACGATTTTGAACTTCTTACAGGTAATTCCAACTTCTTTAAGCCTCCGAAAAACTTCAGCAGCAGGAATATCTTTAAAGAACACCAGGACGGTCTTCTCGAGACTCAAGAAGAGGCTGGCCGCCCGAGCAGCTAACACAAACTCGTGAATCAGCAGCGGGAAGACCTGAAAGAGGTCACTAGCGACAACGCCTATGTCGTCAGCAAAGACACAAAGCCGCGAGGGAGAAACCCGAGTAGCGAAAACCATCCGACGAACGATCGGGTCAAAAACCAGGGCCCAAATCGTCCCAGAAAGCGGACAACCTTGTTTTACTCCTCTCAGGCATTGTATCAAACCATACCTCTTGCCACGAAAGACCACACGCATGGTCATGTTACTGTAGAGGGCCTGCAGCATGGCAAAGACAAAGCTAGGCAACTGCATCGCAGTCAGGATGGCAAAGAGGAAAACGTGCGAGATGGAAGGGAAGGCGCTCGCAATGTCGAACATCGCGTCGCCAGCATTATCAAAGCCTTCCACACTGCCCCAGACAAGGCCATGGGCTTCCATCTCAATCAGGTTGTCAACAATTTGGCGCCCTCGAACAAAACCCCTCTGCTGAGTATGAGCGGTGATTTCAACAATATCACGAAGAAAACAGTTGAGCGCCTTGGAGATGATTTTGTTGTCGGAGTTGCTCAGACTGATCGGCCGAGTCGTGTCAGCCTCTCTGCGTACCAGAATATCATCCCCAGGTTGAGACCCTTTTGGTAGGAAGACGCCGAGGGCTTCGTTGAAATCGTCAGGCAACCGCTGGGAGGCGAGGAAGTAAAGGTAAAAGTCGTAGAGGATCCTAGTGCAGTTGTCGTGCGCTCTCCACACTGAGTATGGGATTCCATCTGGACCAGGGGCCGAATCGTGAAGCTTCTCGACTAATTCCTGGGACTGGGGGTATGTGAGAGTCCAGCTCGACAACTGCGGCGCCACCTGCACGAAGGGGAGATACTCCTGCAGGGCGTCGGGCTCGACCCGCCTAGGAGCAAAAACCCGAGACCAGTGCGCCTGAAGGAGGGTGGCAGCTTCAGTGGGATCCTCGGCAGGATTCCCATCAGAATCTAAAACCGCGGCCAACGACAACCGACGGAGCTTAGGGGACCAGGCAGCCTGGAGAGACTGGAGAGCAGTATTCCGGGCGTTTTTCTTGGGGGGGGGGTTCGGAGGAGGCTTGATTCTCACCCAAAAGCCTGTCAATATAATCGTGATTAAGCTCCGTGAGAAACTGATGGAAGGCGTCAGCGTCGATAAGCTCGCACGCGTCGGTGCTGAAAAACTCGCAGAGCATGGGGAAGGCGCGGCAGGCGCGCGACAGCACCCAAGGCCTCCTGCCTCGAACGGCTCTGGCAGCAGCTAACATCCAAGAGATCTTCTCAACTTCTAGAACAGGGCCTAGTCCTTCAAGTTCTTTCAACGTGTTGCCTTTAGCCAGGAAAGCGATTTCTTTGAACTCATATAAAGCCCTGGTAGGATCGTGACTCAGGTGAGTTTCGCCTAAGAACTGAACTATGTGCTTGGAGTAGAGCGGGTGCTTAGAAAGCCAGGAAGGGATACGAGGAGGAAATGGACCAACCGCAGGATGAAGCCCAAGAAAGACAGGTATATGGTCGCTAGCAGCAGGCAGAGCATATGCAGAACCGATCACCCCGGTAGTAGGACGAAGATCGATAACAGTAGAGGTAGGAGAGCTGAGATAAATACGATCAAGCCGTGCAACAGATTGAATAGCCCCGTCAATCAACTTATGCTGAGTGTGCTCTGTCTGCTCGACCTCTAAAAACTTGGCGAAAACAGCATCGAAGTGAGCTCGAACTCCGTACGTGGACGACTCCTGAGGCTGGGACAGGTGACCTGCCAGATACTCTCGCTGCTCACCAGCAGCATAGAAGTTGAAATCTCCAGCCAGGATACACATCGCTCGACTGGGCGGCAGAACGTGCGCATGAACCTGGTCTAGGAACTTTCTCTTGCCCACTGGAGACAAACTCGGGTCAAGGTGCACCCCGACGATCTGCAAACACCCAGAGGTCCCACGAAGAGTAACCTGAAGGGCCCGACCAGAAATAATCGGAAGCTCCAAAATGTCCTTGAAGGTTTTGGTGAGATTTTTGGCAACCATGATAACAATTCCCCCAGCAGAAGACGAAGGGCAGAAAGATCCGTACACTCTAAACTCAGGATGCTCGCGCCTCAAATTCTCCAGATCTTCTCGCTCACCGTGCGTTTCTTGCAGAATAATAACGTGATATTTGCTTGTCAGGTACTTGAGCTTGCTCTGCTTGTGTTTACGAATGAGACGATCAGAGTGCGGGCTGGCGAAGTAAGTTGCGATATTCCACGTCACGATGAGCACGGAGGAGGAGGGAAAGAAGGGGACATCGGAGGCGCCAGGGGCTGACGGAGAGCTGGAGGGCCTTAAAACCTGCCTGCGTGCCCGACAAGGCCTTGGTCCAAGACTGCAACTCTCAGAACTGTCGCTATCACAGCTGGAGGAGGAGGAGGAGGACGAGGACGACGAAGGGGAGGGAGGGCCAAAAGGACCGGACTCAGAGCAGCACTGCTTGGGCCTACATCAGGCCGTGCGCAGCGCGTCCTCGGCCTCGATGCGCTGCATGGCGTCGCTGATGATCTGATTGTACTGGGTCTCGTCGAAACCCCACTCGATGAGGTTCTCAACGACGGGCTTGACCTCGATCTTGCCAGTGGTCTGAGAGGGCGCCAACGTGAACAACTCCCAGCAGTCAATCGAGTTCTGAACGAAGAGCAAACCACGAGGTCCGTTCGTGCCAAGCTTGAACTCGGCGTTCCACTTGCCATTACGCTTAATAACGGCCAAAACTCCTTCCCACATTTTCCCCATGACGCGCTGCTTCTTTCTAGTACCCAGGCTTTGGTCATGACGAGCTTTGAGCTGAACGGTCTGCATGTTCCTGGGATCCTGCCACTGAAGCAGAAGTGGATTCACACGAATAGAGCTGACGAAGGCTTCGCACTCCTCTGCCTTGGCGAACTGGATGGAGTACGAGGTAGCGAGCGAGTAGATCTTCGGAATGGGAGGCGTAGAGGTACCTGTCGTAGCCGTCGTCTTGATCGACTCCCAATGCGCTTTCAAGACTGTGGCCAACATCTTCCGAGGGAACCCGCCAATCCATGCTTTGGTCTTGTCATTGAGCGAGTCGTCGTCGTCGATCCTGCTGCGAACATCTCCAGGATGTCCAGAGCCTTGACCGAGCAGACGAGTGCGCTTCCGACCGTGAGTGCCTCCCGACCAGCTTGATCCTGCGACCGAGCCTGTGCCAGTGGTGGTCTCGAGGTCATCGTTAAACTGCGCGAGCCGAGCGTCCACCTTGGCGAGAATGGCCGCCTCAGAGGCAGCATCCACAGAGGCCGAAGCAGAGGACTCTAGCGTTGAAACACGAGCAGCAAGAGCAGCAACATTCTGATCCGTCGCCGCGACCGACGCTCGAACCGTCTGCATCTCTTGATTCATGTTCCCCATTTTCTCCATCATCTGACGAAAGCATTCATCAAGATGCTCCTTCGTGAGCGCCATCGCAAGACTCGCGTCGCAAAATGCTCACGCGAGGATCGAAAGTGTCCGCCTGCGCACGACACGCAGGATCGCCTCTTCGAGAGAGGCTGCCCACTCAAGGAAAGTACAGTGGTGTAAAGTGTGTTCGCCCCCGAACGTGCCACTGCCCTCAGCACTTGAGCCAAAATGGCACCGGAGGAGGAGGAGGAGGAGGAGGAGGAGGAGGAGGAGGAGGAGGAGGCCGCGCGTGGTGCGGCGCTGCGGCTGCCACGTCGCTGGCCGCCAGCGCGCGTGCGGCGCGAGGGGGCGCCTGTCGTGGCGGTGCGCGGGCGAGCGAGCGAGCGCGGGAGGACGGCTGGACCTTCTCGAGGCACTCGAGCAGGGGGTCCATCATGTCGCCCAGATCCTCCCCAACGGTGAAGCCGAGCCTCTCGAACAGGTCCGCGTAGTTCTCGCAGTTCTTCCCCAGCACCGTGGTGCACTGGTTCAGAACCTGTCGGGGGCGGCAGTCGAGGAGTGAATGAAGGAACTGCAAAGTCCATATGTGTCTCTACTGGCTTGCTGTGCACTAAACCGTGCACTGGAAGGAACAACAGGAATAAGCGGAAGAGGAGGAGTGTCGGGAGTGTCGGGAAAGTGCACTCACATGCAACCTAGTTGGGAGCATCAGCGAGACGAACAGGGGGAGGGGGAACAAGAGGAAGAGGAACACGAGGAGGAGGAAGCCAAGGAGCAGGAAGAAGAAACGGACGAGGAGGAGGAGGTCCCAGGAGTACAAGGAAAAGGAGCAGAAGTAGCTGCAGGTGCAGGGATTATGAGCTACAAGAAAACATGAGAAGCAGGGGGAGCTTAAAGGAAGAGGAGGCCGCCGTACCCCCATTGAACTTCGAGGCGTGGTAAAACGGCAAATGCTGTCTGGCATAGTTTCTGGAGTCTTCTATGGACACGCCCCCCGCCTACTCACACTTCCATGCGTGCACTGCACCGCCCCCCCCCTCCCAAGGCTTCCTGGGCTGCCAGACGCCCCGCCTACTCACGCTTCCCAGGGCGCCCTCCAACGACGACCAAGATGCTGAAGATGGCTTCCAAGGCGGCCCGAGCAAGCCGCCAAGGCTACCAAGATGGCTCTAGATGCCCCCTAAGATGGCTCGATATAGCCCCAAGAGACGGCCCAAAATGGCCTCAAGATTGCATTAATGTCTTTAGGTGTTGCTGCATGCTCGCAGTATCTTCTTTTCGCGCTTCGGTGAGCTCAAGGCAACCCGAGAAGCCTCCAAGATGGCCTCAAGACGGCACACGAAGGTTCCAAGATGTCCCAAGAGCGGTCCACGAGGACCCCAAGTCAACCAAAGGGGGTTCTCGGACGGGCATCAAGGTCCCCAAGACGACCCACAGAACATTCCCAGACGCCCAGACGGACTCCGAAAGCACCCAGACGGCCAAGAGCGCCCTGGGACGGCCCAAGGAGCCCCCAAGAGCTTCCGGTGCGCCCCCAAAACGCTGACAAGAGGCCCCATGGGCCCCCAAGAGGCCCCCAACAGGCCCCGAAGAGGCACCCATCTAGGCCCAGGGCCTTCAATAGGCCCGAAGTGTCACACGTGACGTCCTGCCATGCCCCCTCGAATAACCACCACCAAGAATGCTGCACTGGCACGGTGGCGGAATGGCCAGAGGCAGAATGAAAGGAGGGGGAGGAGAAGGACGGAGAAGACACAGGGCAGGAGGGGCAACACCAGACGGCGAACCACACATCATGCAGCATGAGCTGCGGTACTGGCGGTACTGGTCAACATGAGGCCTGAGGTTTGGCCACTCCTTCTCCTCAGGTGATGCATTCGTTTCCTGCGGCATCGCTATTTTCACGCCTGGACGTGGAATTCTACTACATCCACCAGCGTTGTCCTGTTCATTCCCCGTCTCGACATCCCCATTACCCCTCGCACTCCCCCCCCCCACCCTCCTGCTCCTCTCATCCTCCCCTCCTGCTGCTGCGCCTCCTCCTCCTCCTCCTCCCCCTCCTCCTCCCCCTCCTCCTCCTCCTCCGCCTCCTCCTCCTCCTCCTCCTCCTCCTCCTCCTCCATGTTCGGTGTTTCGCCTGAGACGCCCTTGTGCTTTACCTGTGATCCTAGGTTGGGAGTTCCAGCTGCTGCGAAGATGGAGGACGAATGGGCATCCACTACGGCACTGCACATTGGGACTGGAAAAAAACACTTGAATTAAAGGCTGGTGATTTTCAAAATAGGATTTTCGCTAAAAACGCCACTTCATCTAGGATCCAGGTTCCAACGTTTACACAACTGGAGTACACGTCGCTTTCAAATATGGCCATTGCTCGAGCCGACCTCGCACATGGTTCTCCAAGCTTGAGACTTCCAACAGCTATCCCGATGAAGGCGAATGGTTTGTAAATTATGGCTGGCCTTTGAAACATCCTTGCACTCGTTGTTCCAACGGCTTGGAATTCAAAACGGTCACACGGATCAAGGACGGCTCCTTTTCAACCTCCAGCTCTCGCCCGAGGCTCCCTCACATTACACGTTTGCCGGCGTGGACCTCTAACATTTGGTCCTTGCACTCTCGCTGTGCACCCTACGTAGTGCAATTTACGAATGGGAATTGGATCCGTCAGCTCCAACGATCGAGCAAACATCACAACCCACCGTCGCCTACAGCACGCAAGTTGTTGGCAAAACTCAACCGGCGTAATGACGCGAGGACCGATATCAGGCAACGCATGCTTTGTCATCACCATTTCGTGATGGCGTTTTCGTTCTTCCCCCACCGTGCGCAACAAACACACACACACACATGATCATCTGCCCTGCCAGCGGGCGAGCGAGCTCTCTCACTTCGGCTCGTAGTAGATGTGCAGCTCGATGCCGTCGGGGCCCCAGGGGCGCAGCTTGGTGTGGTCCGAAATCTTGCCGGAGATCGGCTTATCCTCGTCCTCCTTCAAGTAGACGTTGAAATCGCTGTCGAGGAGGAAATCCTGGTCGATCTCAAAGATCTTCCTGAATTTGGTGAGGCACGACTCCACTGTGGTGCTCTCGTCGATGATCACACGGTAGCGGCCGCCGATCGACGGGGCGGTGAGCATGATCTCGCTCCCGGCCTGCCTGGCCACGCGGTCACCCCGGGCAGCTGGGCTTTGCTGGAGGCCCGTGCCAGCGAAGGCCGGCGAGAGGGTCGCGGCCAGCAGCCACGCGGCCACCGCGGCGAGGACCAGAGCACCGAAGCTGGAGCGCGCCATCGCGGGAGGCTGAAATGCCAGAAAAGGCGGTGCTGTTCGCGACCGTCAGGCGTGTCAGACCAGAGCCCAGGAACTTTAGCCAAAGCCGAAACGGCTACGGTTGAGGATGAGCGCACTGATGACGAGGGCGACGACAATGATGATGACGATGATGATATGCATGACGACAGTGGGGACGATAACGTCAATAGTGGTGATTGCGATGCTGGAGACGATGTCGGTGGCAGTGATGACGCTGGCGATGACCATGATGATGCCATGGTTCCGGTGAGGATGACGAGGAAGTGCGCGAGCAAAAAATTCAGAAGTCTGACGACGTGCTGACGAGAAGGTGCCAATCAAGGGCAGCAGCGTGGAATAGGGATTCCCCGCTGCAATGTCCCGGCGGAGAACCGCGGGCCACGCGGGGGCTCGTCGTCGGGCCCTCCGCCAGTGGAACCTCCTTCTTCTCCTTGTCGTCCCCCGCCCCCAATCGACCCCCTTGAAACCCTGCGGGGGGCAGTCCCACGAGCGTGGCCGAAATGTGGCTGAGGCAACTCCACTCGCCTGAACCCCCCCGGGAGAAACGATCAGAAGGGGGGTTGCACTCGAATGCGCGACGACCTTGCGCGGTGGCTCACGCAGGCCGCTCGCGCGGCAGACCGCGTCACCGTAACAGCGCCTACGCGCGACCTTACGAGGGCGGCATGCGCGCGAGTGCCCGCGCAATCGACCCCCTTGAAACCCTGCGGGGGGCAGTCCCACGAGCGTGGCCGAGATGTGGCTGAGGCAATTCCACTCGCGTGACCCCCCCAGGGAGAAACGATCAGAAGGGGGGATGCACTCGATTGCGCGACGACCTTGCGCGGTGGATCACGCAAGCCGCTCGCGCGGCAGAACGTATTAAGGCGCCTACGCGCCACCTTCTGCGGGCAGCTTACGCACAAGTGCACGCGCAATCGACCCCCTTGAAACCCTGCGGGTGCGCGCGGGCGCTTTGAAATGTGTCGCCCGGTTGCGGTTGCGGTTGCGCTCCCGCGGGCGGGTTGAAATGTGTCGCCCGGTTGCGGTTGCGGTTGCGGTTGCGCCCTCCCGCGGGCGGGGTGAAATGTGTCGCCCGCTTGCGGTTGCGGTTGCGCCCGCGGGCGCTTTGAAATGTGTCGCCCGGTTGCGGTTGCGGTTGCGCGCTCCCGCGGGCGCTTTGAAATGTGTCGCCCGGGTTGCGGTTGCGGTTGCGCGCCCGCGGGCGCTTTGAAATGTGTCGCCCGGTTGCGGTTGCGGTTGCGGTTGCGCGCTCCCGCGGGCGCTTTGAAATGTGTCGCCCGGTTGCGGTTGCGGTTGCGCGCCCGCGGGCGCTTTGAAATGTGTCGCCCGGTTGCGGTTGCGGTTGCGGTTGCGCGCTCCCGCGGGCGCTTTGAAATGTGTCGCCCGGTTGCGGTTGCGGTTGCGCGCTCCCGCGGGCGCTTTGAAATGTGTCGCCCGGTTGCGGTTGCGGTTGCGGTTGCGCGCTCCCGCGGGCGCTTTGAAATGTGTCGCCCGGTTGCGGTTGCGCGCTCCCGCGGGCGCTTTGAAATGTGTCGCCCGGTTGCGGTTGCGGTTGCGGTTGCGCGCTCCCGCGGGCGCTTTGAAAAATGCGGTCGCCGGTTGCGGTTGCGGTTTGAAATGTGTTGCGGTTGCGGTTGCGGTTGCGCGCTCCCGCGGGCGCTTTGAAATGCGTCGCCCGGTTGCGGTTGCGGTTGCGCGCCCGCGGGCGCTTTGAAATGTGTCGCCCGGTTGCGGTTGCGGTTGCGGTTGCGCGCTCCCGCGGGCCGCGGGCGCTTTGAAATGTGTCGCCCGGTTGCGGTTGCGGTTGCGCGCCGCGGGCGCCGCCCGTTGCGGTTGCGGTTGCGCGCCCGCGGGCGCTTTGAAATGTGTCGCCCGGTTGCGGTTGCGGTTGCGGTTGCGCGCTCCCGCGGGCGCTTTGAAATGTGTCGCCCGGTTGCGGTTGCGGTTGCGCGCCCGCGGGCGCTTTGAAATGTGTCGCCCGGTTGCGGTTGCGGTTGCGGTTGCGCGCGCCCGCGGGCGCTTTGAAATGTGTCGCCCGGTTGCGGTTGCGGTTGCGCGCCCGCGGGCGCTTTGAAATGTGTCGCCCGGTTGCGGTTGCGGTTGCGGTTGCGCGCTCCCGCGGGCGCTTTGAAATGCGTCGCCCGGTTGCGGTTGCGGTTGCGCGCTCCCGCGGGCGCTTTGAAATGTGTCGCCCGGTTGCGGTTGCGGTTGCGGTTGCGCGCTCCCGCGGGCTTTGAAATGCGGTTGCGGTTGCGGTTGCGCGCCCGCGGGCGCTTTGAAATGTGTCGCCCGGTTGCGGTTGCGGTTGCGGTTGCGCGCTCCCGGGCGCTTTGAAATGTGTCGCCCGGTTGCGGTTGCGGTTGCGCGCCCGCGGGCGCTTTGAAATGTGTCGCCCGGTTGCGGTTGCGGTTGCGGTTGCGCGCTCCCGCGGGCGCTTTGAAATGTGTCGCCCGCTTGCGGTTGCGGTTGCGCGCCGCCGGGTTGCGCTCCCGCGGGCGGTTTGAAATGTGTCTCCCGAGCTGTCCCCTGACGTTCAGTCAGTCATCAGTCAGCCGGCGGGCACGGAATTTCACCCGGCTCCGCCGGGAAAGCAAGATGAGTCCGGACGGATGTTGACGTGCGCGCGCTACAGAGATGCGCACGTGTGGCCCGCACGGCAATATTTGACAGAATTGGCGGGTGCGCGATGAGTGCTGAGCTACACTGTCAATGCCTCGCTCTCCTTGGGCGTTGCTGTGTTCTTGCTCGTTAACATGTGTCACAAGTGCGGACCTACACTGTCAATGCTGCACTTTTCTGTGGCTTTGCTGCGTTCCTGCTCGCAACGCGCACCACCAGAGGCGGCGGAGAGCTTGAGAGACCCATGCGCGCGAGTGTGGCCAGCGGGCTCTCAGCTGACAGAACGGGGTGTTCCTTTTGCTTTCAGCGCATGCGCGCGCAAACATGAGAGATCACTGCTTTCTTACAAAGACAAAAAAACAACTGCATTGTATGGTCTGTTCCACGGGTATGTCTGGAAGATGCTGCATGAGTCAATAACTTCTGAATGAATTTGGCATGCACGCGAGAGGGCGCGCGCATGGCCCGCAATGTCAGAGCGAGGGGGCTAAACGGTATCGTTCTGTCCCAAGGTGCGTGGCTGAAGTCAGAGTCCGCGATGCGGATTATTGTCGTTGCTGTGCTGCGTCGTATTGTTGTTGTCGTCGCCCTCGCCCGCGGCCTGCCCACGAACCTGCCCCCGACCCACCAACGATCTGCCCGCGACCCACCCACGACCCACCCGCGACCCACCAGCGACCCACCCACTACCCACCAGCGACCCATCCACGTTGCTTCGACAGAAAATTGTGTAACGTGTTCAAAATTGGCGCCTGGGGTGGGCTTCTCCGAACTTTCTCTCGAGCCTCGCAAACTTCAACTGCGGGGGCTATGGTATGATTTGATTCAGAGAAAGCGGGTGCGCGATGACTGTTTCATGAGGTTGACATGCGCGCGCGTGTGGCCCGCATACCCTCCACGTGATAGAACTTAGACACACGTATTGTTTTCTTACAGTTCCAGCGATGCGTGCGCGCACAACAAAATTCAAACATCCTGTGGGGAAAACTGGTGCTTGATAGTTTTGAACGGCTGCCTTGAAACAGTGAGCAAACTAATGGGAGAGCGAGTTTCACTGGCGCTCGGGTGCGGAACAGGTCCTCGGCACGTCGAAACAGGGGGGGGAGGCAAACATCCCAAGCCCCCTGCGAAGCAATCCAACCCCAGCCCCCTTCACACAGAACCCCCCTTACCAACAACCGCCCTCATGGCGCCAGTCGGCGTCGTCGTGGTCAGTCGTCGGTCGTAGGTCGTCGGTCGTGGGTCGTCGGTCATCGGTGGCCAGTCGACAGCGTCGGCGTCGGCGTCGTCGTCAGTCGTCGGTTTCCGGAAGTCCAGCATGTTTGCAGGGGGGATGGGGGAGCAGTTTGAAACCTCCCTCGATTCTCAGGTGACCACGCGCTTTTTCTAACCAATGGTTTTGGAATGATTCTGACATGCGCGCGCGGAGTGGTGCGCATGTGGCCCGCGTGGCCCGGCCCGGTGACAGCACGCACTTCTTACATCACCGCATGTCCACCGTATGCCAGCTTGTGCAAGAGATGACAGGGGAGCCGATACAGGGGCGACTGAACGATCGTGCAGGAGGCATGTAAATGCGCGAACGAGGGCCTGCAACCCCCGCCTCGGAGGGAGGGGGAGCGTCAGGTTCTTCAAAGAGAAGGCGCGGATCCATGGAACTCGGTGCAAGCTATGAAGAGCAACATGTGTTGTGCAACCTATGAGGTGCGTTCCATGCAGTACAGGGTATGCGGTGCAACCTGTGAGGTGCGAGCCTTGTGATGAAACGTACCGGTGCAGTCGATGCGGTGCCAGCCATGTCGTGCAACATAATGGGGCGATCGCTATGTGCTGCCTTTGATGTGACACGATTTATAGCGTGCAGGCTGTGTGCAGCCAGAAGTTCGAGCCAGCATACGATAGGCGAAAACTCGGGGGGGCCCAGCCAGCCCACGGAGCGAGCACTATGCAGGCTCGGGCAGGCACTCGGCGGAAACACTGCCCCACCCAAGTATGCAATAAGCATGTACCAGCCCCTTAGCACAAGCCCTGTATGGTAAGTGCTGCAAGAACGACAAAGAGCAATGTCACAGATAGAAGGTGTCTTATCTCTACGACGGTGTCCTCGCATGAGCCCTCTTTACACTCCCTGACCAGAAACCTTGATGGAAGTTCATAAGGCTGCTTGGGTGGCTTGTGGCTCTTTGCCAATACAGCGCTCTCGCTCTGGCAGCGCGGGCATGTCCCGACGCCTCTACCAGCTACATTGATGGATGACGATCCCCTGTCAGACTCGTTGCGCTGTGTGTAACGTTACTCGAAAGCGTATCGGTATGATTGTCGACGCGCGTAACAAAAAGAGATAGGGCTCTGACAATGCAAGCCCATGGGTTATGTTGTCCCCATCGTACTTAAGGACCACATCCCGGAAATAATTTCGAGCACCCAGAAAAGTGTCAAAAGAGTGCCGAAAGGGTGTCGAAACAACGTCGAACGAATGTCTCAGGGCCCGATACGTCAAAACCCTCGAGTTTCGCTACTTCTTCGGTGCTCGAAATTCTTCCTGGGTGGTCAATGCTAAAGTAGGTTGGAACATCATAGCCCATGGGACCTTCACCTGCCCGGTGGGCGCTCGCCGGCTCGAGAAGGGGCGCGCCCACTGTCTCGTGAGGACGAGAAACTTGGAACGGGAGGGTCCGTGGCAGCATTAACTACGTAGACATGTGTGCTGGCGTCGCTTGTTTTCCTCCTCCCCCTCCTCCTCCTCCTCCTCCTCCTCCTCCTCCTCCTCCTCCTCCTCCTCCTCCTCCTCCTCCTCCTCCCTCTTCTCATCCGCATTCCTCTTCCTCCGCCTCCTCCTTCTCCTCCTCCTCCTCCTCCTCCTCCTCCTCCTCCTCCCCATCCTTTCCTCCCACTTCCTCCTCTCAATTCCTCCTCCTCTATCCTCCTTCTTCTCCTCCTCCCACCTCCTCCCCCCTCCATCCCCCCTTCCCTCCCCCCCTCCGATGGGCCGCCGAGCACCGAGATCTCCGCCGCCGCCCGGGCGAGCGCGTCCGGAGAGCCCCTCGCCTGCGCCGCCTGCGCCGCGCTCAGCCGCGAGGCCAGCCGGGAGATGCGCGCCTCGGGGCTCCGAAGAGTGCTTGTTCTATTGGAGGCTTGGGCATTAGCACCAACACCAACACAGGGGGTTACCTCCACGGGGAGAAGATGATCCTAGATTTCGGTGTTGGTGGTGATGTTTCGGCCACCTTGGAAGCCAGAATATTACCACTATCACCGAGATCGGGACCTTGATCCCTCGGTGGAGGCACACCGCCGAAATTGGTGTTGGTGTCAACCTCTAGGCCTGCGATTCTACGCCAGGTTCGTGTCGTGCGGACTTCGGCGTTGGTTTCTGACAGCGCGGGGATCGTTCAACCTTGAACGATCGGCCGTTTCCGAAACGTCAGATCGTTCAACATCGACGGCTTCTTGGTCGGTTGAGCGCTAGCGGCGGGTCGCCGCCGGTCGACACGACGCGAACCTGCCGTGAGGGAGACGATGGGAGCGGACCACATGACGGAGCCTCCAACTATCTCGCCCTGCCGCACGATGGGAATGCAAGCTAGTGTGCGTTCGGGCTCCTTCGAGGCTCGAGAAGCGAGGATCGAAGATCGAGGATAGGGGTCCGATGATCGAGGCTCGAGGAGACCAAAGGAGCAGAAAGTCCATGGTCCTGACGGTCGAGATCGGAGAACAAGAAACGGAGGCGTAACGGTGGAGAAGGAGGCGCGCGCGGCGGTCAAGCATCGCCACTGGCTTTACGCCCTGAGGGTAAACCGGATGGGAGGAGCGCACCTGGCGGACGGTCCAGCGCAACGCCCACAAAAGGCTACGGCCAAGAGGACATAACATGAAGAAAGAAAAGGGAAAGGCGGAGGACGAGCAGGCGAACAAAGAAATAAAAACAGGATGACACCTGTCAACGAGAACCCTCGACTTACAAATCGCTCTGTGACTGTAAAGTGCCAACTTCGCCCCGCGCGTCGAGCTCGCCCGAAAACAACAATCAGGGCCCAACCCAGGAACAACCGTGCCCAACCTCTGAGACCGCCGCGAAGCCGGGAAGGAGCCTGCAAGGCGGGGGGGTATCCATGACCACCACCTGGAGGACCGATCCTCGAGGAGCTTGACAGGCGGTGGATATCGATGCGTTCACGAACTGATGCACAGCGCGACGCGGCGGCGGCCCCGGCGGCACGCTAAACCGTGCTTTGTGATCCCGTGTCGCCCCGCTCCGCGGGGCGGGGGGCTCGAGAATGCTCGGAACGGTGACGCCTGGGGACTGGGGAAGTGGACAGCGTGTGTCACGCCGAGGCGTGGCGGGCCAGAACCATCTCCCTCCTCCTCCTCCTCCTCCTCCTCCTCCTCCTCCTCCTCCTCCTTTTGTTCCTCCTCCTCCTCCTCCTCCTCCTCCTCCTCCTTTTGTTCCTCCTCCTCCTCCTCTCCTGGGAGGTGTTCCTGCACCTGCCGAGGTCCACGAGGAGCGATCCTCGAGGCGGTGGCTGTGGGCAGACCCCCGCCTCGGACAGACGGCGGTAGCTGGGGAAAGGGTCGCCCACGGTGCGGCCCCAGCGTTCCCGCTGCTCCCTGAGCAACCTGCCTGCCAGGGTCAGATACAGATGTGCATACAGCATGCATGCAGAAATAAATGCACACATACAGATGCATAGCGTTCCAAAAGCCAAGCGTGAGCCTTTCCAGACCCAAAATCTGTGCCCTCGTGGTCTCCCGTGTGGTCTCCCCCAGGGCTTCCGGTACGGCCTCCCGCACGGCCTCCCGTGTGACCTCCCGTATGGTCCCCATACGGTCTCCCGCACGGTCTCCCGGATGGTATCCCGGATGGCCTGCAGCATGGTCTCCCGTATGGTCTACCGTAGGGTCTCCCGTATGGTCCCCCGCATAGTCTCCCATATGATTTTCCAAAAGGTTTCCCAAGATGGTCTCCCGGATGGTCTCCTGTATGGTCTCCCGCATGGTACCCCGTATAGTCCCTCGCATGTCCCCCCGCATGTCCAGCACCGTGCAAAGCTCTCCCCACTGTTGAACCATGCTCTTTGGGGTCTTCTGCCGCCAGGAAGAATCACGGCGAAAGGGTTCCCTGGCTTGGGGGTCAAAAGATTCCCGGGTCTGCGGGCGACCCCGAGGTCCCGGGCGGGGGGGGGCGTCTCCCAACTTCGGAATTCGACCCTCGCCATATCCTCGTGCTCACCCTCAAGCACCCCGTGCATCCGTTGCACTTCGTGCATCCCCGTGCCGATGCTCGATCCGCCCCCCACACCATTTCCAACTCATCCTTATGCATCCTGTGCACTGCGCGAACCCTGTGAGCCCTCCGTGCTCGCTCCTACCCCCTCCCCGCCTACAACGGGGGGGGCTGGGGAGGGGGGGGTCTCGCTGCGCATTACGGCTGCTCCCCGGTGCCGCCACCGCAGTGGGTGAGCTGCTGAGGTAGCGCTCGTGGATGGCGCGGAGGACCTCACGGGGCCGCTGCGTAACCCTTCGAGAGGGGGAGGGCGGAAGGAGCGTGAGGACAGAGAAGTGGGAAGGGGTGGCGAAGGATGAGGAGGAGGAGGAGGAAGAGGAGGGCGAGGAGGAGAACTGGAACGCTTGCGACCCTGATGAGCGGCGCCTGAAAAGGAGAAGGAGGAGGAGGAGGACCAGAATAAGCTCAAGATCCACACCGATGCCGCAGAGCACCCTCCCGTCCCAAGTCCCCTCCACACAACTCCTGAGGGCCAACGATAAGGGGCGACTAGCATAGGAAGGAAACATCGACTCGGAATCGGCGATACACGGCGATAGATCGGCGATAAGCCCCCGATAGCGAAACCGCTTCTCCCTGGGGGGAAAGGCTATCAGACCCCTGTCGGCGATCGATGGGCGATTACAGGTCGATGCATTCCCCCCCCATGCACATCCCGCGAGAGACCAGCACGGGCCTGCCATTCAGGTGGGAGCCCCGTTTTGACATGGAGCTGACTGCGTCGCATCCTTCCAGCGAGTGGTGGGAAATTCGCAGAGGTACACCATGCTCAGAATGAAGATTGCGTTCGGCTAAGGAAATGGGCTTCACTCAAAGCGTTTGTTTTTAACCCATCGTATTGGTCCACGTACATGAGCGTTCTAAGACCGAAAGAAGCTCCAAGAAAACGCCCAGGCTCCAGCCCAGATTGTGGACTTTCTTAAACGAAGTAAGGAGCCCACGAAATTCCGCGCTTTGTCTTAAGATTTCTGATCGGCACATGATCCGACGACTCCACGGGGTGACCGGCAATATCCCCGTTGTGAAAGAGGTCTCCCACGTCTGTGCAACTCCTGCCTAGAAAGTTTTCACGCAAGGCCATGGGTGTCGAGGGCGCCTCAAGAAGAACCCGATTTTGAGAGAAGGAGCCGTCCTCCGTCCTTGACGCTGCCCCACATGTTCAAGTTCCTAGTCGTTCTTTCATGGCCGCACAGAGACATACTAGTACTATATGTTATCCTTGGAGGCGCGCGTCCGACCCGAATATAAAATGTACCCATCTTGTAGTGCATCGTTTCCCGAGCGGTGTGGCCAGAAAGCGCACACCACGACGCATATACTATAAGATTTCTGCGTGGGCGCGCCGCTCCTGGGGGGGCGACGCGCATATAGTACTAGTATGTTGCGGTGACGCCGATTCAAATTTCGGTAAGTCCCAAGCGAACACGCAATTGCGAAAACTGAAACGCCCTTCACCCGTGAAACTGTTGCAAATGTCCTACATGTTGGCGCTTACATACGAGAAAATCCGCCGACCCCTTGGGGTTCATCGGCGTGTGAGATGTTCCCCCTACCCAAACCCCTCCCCCGGGAGCCCAGTCCGGTCCATTTGGAGGGGGGGGGGGTCGGGCCGGACGGCCCCGGGCGGGACCGGACGGGACCGGAGGTCTCATCCGCTCCCGGAAATCGTGGCAAAACGCGTGAAAATCGTGTAGGGACGCGTCTGGTGGCCTCGAAATGGGTTTGGGATGCCCAACGAGCGCTCCAAGACGCCCAAGTTGGCCCGAAGACGGCCCACGAGGCGTCCTTGACGGCAGAAGAGTTCCCCACGAGCCCCCCCGAGGGCCTCCCAGATGCGTTGCACAAGGGTCCCTAGACGCAAAAATTAGGCCATTTCCTTTTGTGAAATGTATATTTTCAATAATTCCACTTTGGACCTTTCCGATGCTCCCCGACGCCCAAAGAGGCTCCCAAACCCGCTCCCAGACGGCCCCAGAAGCCTCGCAGAGGGTCCCCCACAGACCCTTGGAGGGCCCAAGATGGGCCAACAGGCGTCCAAGACGGCCCAAGAGGGGTCCGAAAACGGCCCCAAGAGCGCTCCAGAAGCGCTCCGAGTTGCTTGCCTCCACAAAGCTCCACATGGTCACAGACGGTCCAAGAGCGATCAGAAACATCGACGACGGCCTCCCGACGGGTCAAGAGGCCTCCCTAGACGCCCCCACAGGCATCCAAGATTCCACCCAAGAAGCCCTCTAGACGCAAAAAATCACAGTTTCCTTCGTAAAACGTATATTTGTTCACACGTGCGCCTTTGGGGGTCTTCCCCGCTCCTGGATGGCCCCAGAGCCCCCCAAACCCGCTCCCAGACGGCCCAAAGCGTCTCCAAGAGGGTTCCTACACAGCCCTCGAGGGCCCCAAGACGGGCCAACAGACGTCCAAGACGGTCCAGACGGGTTCCGAAAACGGCCCCGAGACGCTCCAGGAGCGGTCCGAGTGGCCTCGAAGAGAGCCCCACATGGTCCTCGACGGTCCAAGAGCGATCCAAAACGCTGACGACGGCCTCCAAACGGCTGAAGAGGCCCCCAAGACGCCCCAAGAGGCATCCACGATGCGCCCCAAGAGGGCCTCTAGACGCAAAAAATTGTTCGTTCCCTTCGTCAAACGTATATATTTCCACAGGTGCGCCTTTGGGGGTCCCCCCCTCTCCTGGACGGCCCCAGAGCCACCCAAACCCGCTCCCAGACGGCCCAAGACGCCTCCCAGAGGGTTCCCACAGAACCCTCGAGGACCCCAAGGTGGGCCAACACACGTCCAAGACGGCCCAAAAGGGGTCCGAAAACGGCCCCGAGAGCGCTCCAGGAGCGCTCCGAGCGGCCTCGAAGAGAGCTCCACATGGTCCTCGACGGTCCAAGAGCGATCCAAAACGCTGACGACGGCCTCCAGACGGCTGAAGAAACCCCCAAGGCGCCCCAAGAGGCCTTCACGATGCGCCCCTGGAGGGCCTGTAGCCGCATGCAATCGCCCGTTCCCCTTCGTAAAACGTATATGTTTTCGCACGTGCGCCTTTTGGAGTGCCCCCCGCTCCCGGGCGGCCCGAGAGCGCTCCAAGACCGCACCAAGACGGTCCAAGAAGCCTCCACGAGGGCCCCGCGGCAGCCCAAGAGGGCGCCAAGACGGGCCAAGAGAGGCCGAGGACGGCCCAAGAGAGCCCCGAAGACGACGCGCGCGCGACTCGCGGTTAGATTCCTCGCAACTTGCGTTGCTTCCCGCCGTGCTCGTCACTTGCCTCCGCAGGGCGTTTCGGCGGGTCTCTCCGCGGCGCCCGTCCCGCCTTATAGCACTTGGCGCAAACCACCAGAGTGCCTCGGTGGCAATAATGCTTCTTCTGGGCGATCGACAGATGGCCGCCGTCAGTGAACGCAGGCTTTGATCCGTCCTTCTCCAGGGGACATGCGGAACATTCTAACTTCTTCGCCGCCTGCCTTTGCTCCTGGCACGCGCGGCACATGACTGGGCGATGGTCCGAACCCGTCGCGAAGAAGTGCTTCACTTGCGTATCAGTCAGATGCGCCCTGTCCGTGAATTCCCGCTCTGTTCCATCTGCTTCTTCTGGGCACGCGGAGCACGTGAGCACTCGCGGCTGATTGCGTTATTCTTGGCACGCGCGGCACATGACTGGGCGACGGTTCGAACCCGTTGCGAAGAAGTGCTTCACTTGCGTATCAGTCAGATGCGTCCTGTCCGTGAATTCTCGCTCTTTTCCATCTGCTTCTTTCGGGCACGCGGAGCACGTCAGCACTCGCGGCTGATTCCGTTCTTCCTGGCATGCGCGGCACATGGCTGGGCGATGGTCCGAACCCTTCGCGAAGAAATGCTTCACTTGCTCATCTGTTAGGTGCGCCCTGTCCGTGAATTCTCGCTCTTTCCCATATGTTTCTTTCGGGCACGCGGAGCACCTGAATACCCGCGATCGCTTGTGCTGCGCGTCGCAGTCGCGGCATTTCACTGGCCCATGGGCTGCGCCCGCTTTAAAATAGCGTTTGATTTGTGCTGTGGTCAGATGCGCCGCGTCCGTGAATTCCCGCCCTCTTCCGTCTGCGTCTTTTGGGCACTCCGAACACCTCAGCGGCTGTTCCTGGCGCGCGCTTCGTCGAGCAGTGTTCGTTGCATTGATCCACTCCGCTTCCTTCTGCGATTGGCTCCACTCGATGCATCCGCCTTTCCTCTTCCCTGCGCACTTCTTGCAGAGCTTCTCCCCTGCGCCCTTCGTCGCGTACTGGTTCGCCGCAATTTCTGCCTCCGTCTTCAGGAATTCACAGCATTCCGCGCAACGCATCGTAAATTTGTCTCGTACATTCTGCCGCCACTTCTGAGACTCTTTCCGCGACTTCCCCCGGGCTGGTGGCCCTGCGCACCTGTCGCATTTGCTTGTCCGCACGAACACTCTGCTCCTGTCGGACTCGGCCCCCGTCACTCTGGAGGCTATCTCGGCCCATTGGTCACAAGTCGTGCACCACTTTCCCCCTGCTCCCTTCAACATCTCCGTGCACTCGCAGCAGAAGCTCGGGCCCGACTTCGCGCAGAACTCATTCGTGCTGAAATCCGCCTTTCCCTTCACCTTCCGACATTTCCCGCATGTTTTCCGCGGCATCAACCTCTCCTCGATGTCCGGCCACGGCAACGCTTCTCCCCGCAGCTTCTGCCACAACAACCTCGTGCCCTCCAATTCTCCCTTCGTGTACGGCTGTCTCGAAAATGGCCGAGATATGAGCAGACCCTGTCGAGTCTTCACGCGTGTTATGGCCACGTAGCTCGACATCCAGCTCACGTTTCTGCCTTCCTCCAAGTCGGCTATTACCGCGCCCAGCGTTCGCCCTTGCGCTGCGCGCGCCGTGCGCGCCAGCCCACGCGAAATTATACACTGTCTCCGTCGCACTCCCAGCACGGGCTTCTTTCGATACGAGTCCAAATGTCACGTCCGAGCACGAGGGACTAGGGGATGCAGTCCGGGTCCCGGCATCCCTTTCAGCGTCCACTTCTCGGTGTGAAAGTCCAACGCGATTTGCCTCGGCATCTGAGGCAGGACTCTCGACGACGCGTCCTGCACGTCTTCTTCTTCTTCATCTACCACCCATGAATGTATCGTCGCGCGACCCCCTCGTAGCAATTGCTTCTCTGATCTGTCCAAATGGTCCGTCAGTACAACTGGCATGCCCACGGCAAGCGGTAACCA